CCAAGACAAGACCATTAATGCACTAAAGTGCAGGTGATGATCGGTGCCAGACTATTGACTTCTATTAAGGCTGGACCTCTGACAACGATCGAGATAAAATTGTAAGTGCATCAAAGTGTAGGTGACAACCAGGATTGAACGGTAGACTTCCAAAGAGATTGGACTGTGTAGTGCTGCCTTGGTCTATGCCAGTGGCCCTGTCCTAATTGGTGCTAATTGTTCGGTCTCAATTGTCACCTATACTCTTGTCTCAATCAACACTGTCAATCGAATCCCAGCAAAATTCAATAATTTGGTCCCATTCATTACTTGTATTCTGATCTTAGTCATCACCGGCAATTCAGTCTTAATGAAGTTAGTTGTATGGTCTTGGTTGGCACTGGCAGTTCAATTTCAATGGAAGCACATGGTTCAATCCCAACTGGTGTTTGCCATCTAGTCTCAATTAGGGTGGCAACGGTCTGGTCTTGGTCGCCCTAAGAAATCTAGTCCTGCTTGGTGCCCATCAAATTACAAGCAAATTGAGGTAGGATTTGAAATAATAGAGGCTTAGAAAATATTTCAAATTACATAAAGATTGATGTAGAACTTAGATTTGAATTTGGGTCAAATTTAAATTCATACACTTTTAATTACCCAAATAATGAATTTAGTTCAAACCCAGATCCTTATATGTCCAAACATAGCATTATGAATTGGATCAAAATGCATTCGTGCTCATGTGTAACTGCAATTTCATTTTGATGTCTTTTTTTATCATGTATGCAAGTTATTTATTCCTGTTAACATCCAAACTTATGAGTTTGTTAATGAGGTAATGATGACACCACTCTTAAGTTGCAATAATCATGCTTTGAAATAGCAGTTAACTATGTAAGGTGCTCATTAAACCAGTCATTAACACGATCCCAATTTTTTCCATGGTTTGCTTCAATTTTCCTATTAAGTCTTGTAAGTAACTAAATAATCTCATCTCTAAATTTTAGGAGGAAGGGACTCGGAGCAGCAATAAACCTTATTGGGTTGCATGGGACAAAATGACAAAAAATAAGAATGATGGAAAAACAGGGTTCAAAAGGCACTTTGGGCTAGAATCCTTAAGGGATTTCATTTCTTGACTCTAATTTTCTCATAGCATCAAAAGGCTCTAAAGCCTGATGATGCTAATCCAACATTGTTGATGGTAGATTGTTTCTTGAAAAGGACTTATGTTAACAAATAGGGAATGGCAGGGATGTGAGAATATGGAAAGAAAAGTAGATTATCACTTTAAAGATCCATAAATTGCCCCCTTGTAATGATCTTGATGTTATTGACAATAGCTTGGTGGCAAATCTGATTGAAAACAGATAGTGGAACTTAGCTTACTTAACAAATCTAGTTAGGGAAAAGTTTGCCTAAGTAATTAAGAAGATTCCATTGTCCAGTCGTGAGATACTTGATAAGGTCATATGGTTGCCTGCTTGAAATGGTGTTTATATTGTAAAAAAGGGCTACTTAAAGGCCAAAAGATGTGGTAAGCTGGAAATTATGAAGGCTAGCACCTCGACCCCAACTCCAAGTGATCTATGAAAGAATATATGGAGGATCAAAACATTACCCAAGATTCAACAATTCATTTAGAGAAGCTTGTCAAATGTTGTTGCAACTTTGGAAGGTTTATTTAAGAGCAAAAAGTGGCATACAGAGCTTTGTCCAATTTGTGAAGTTGCACCAGAATCCCTTAAGCACTTGTTCTTCCTCTATTTATGGACAAGGTATGTTTGGTTTGGGAGTGATTTCTCTTCCAAAGTTGATCTTTGTAAAATCATTAGTTTCAAAAATCAATGGCCACTAATTACTCGGCCTGATAGTCCTTTCACAGCTTATGATATTTCTCACTATTGTTGGATTTTGTGGTTGATATGAAAGAGTAAAAATGATTGTGTGTTTAATCATGAAGTTAATGATGACTTTGATATTGGTGAATATTATTTTTAAACTTTTTAATGATTGAAGGGTTGTAATTGTAATGATAGATATTTGAAATGTCGTACTTTATTATTGTTAGAATTTTTAGTAATTGGATTTGGTTGAATGTTTTTATAATCAATGCCTTTTTATTTAAATTATATTATTTTAATCATGATCGGTTTGTCATCGATTTAACTTCTGATTTAACCCTAATTGAACTACTAACCCATGACCTAATGTCATGATCAGTTCAATGATTGGTTCGGTTTTTTGTATTTTGCTTTAAATTATAAAAATTTCAACAACAGAACATGGTTTTTAGTTGCAATAAATTACCTTTTTTTATTAGCTTGGAATTCATAACGAAGTTTAGTAAATTTCTAACTAAAGGTATATTTCCAACTATCTTTTTTAATTTTCCAAGTGATAATAAAAAAATCACAAGTGATTAACTAGCAATTTACAACTGATTCTCATAAATTTTCAACTAACATTATAAATAATTTTAAATGTATTTAGTGAATTTTTTAAGTGATTTGCTTTTATATTGATTTACAATTTACAACTAACTATTGTAAATTTCCAACCAACTTTACAAATAATTCTAACTGTATTTATTTAATTTTTCAAGTGGTTTATCTGCATAGTGACAACAAAAAATTGAGATTTACAACTAGCTTTTATAAATTTTTAACTAATGTTATAAATAATTCCAAATGCATGTAGTAGATTTTTCAATCGACTATTTGAATTTTTCTAATTGCAAGTAAAGACCATTGTCTTTTATTAAAATTTCAATAGTTTATAGTTTATAATTGTTATTAATGTTCTTTTAAGGTCTCTAATTGTTATTTTTCCTATTTTTTATGTGATCATATGTAACATCTAACATTAACAAATCATTTCATGTTAAAATATTACCAACAAGAATTGAATTTAGTAGAAGTTGCTAGTCACTTATAACCTGACGAATTAAGATTTGTATTCTCTGAGAGGTGCCAATATTTAATGCACAATCATGTTTGGAATATGATTGCCTCTAATAAGAGGAAACATGTGATCAATAAAAAAAAATCTAAATAAAAATTGCCAACTAAGCTCAACGTGAGTAGTAAGGACTCTTGTTACTTAAGCACTTTATTGAAGGTTTGAATATTGGTCCATGTGTATGTATTAACTGATGCAATTGATGAAGATGTTGCACATAGAATAGAAGCTGGGTAGTGAAGATACCTAATAAACTTAAATGTGAGTTTTATTGAATTATCATAAGATCGGCCATGTTAGATAGTAGTGAATGATAAATTTTAAAGGAACAAGAAGAGCATTAAGTTGAAGTAGCATGTATAAGAATGGTAAGATGGATGTGCAAATATGCATGAAAATATAAAATATGAAAAAAGCATATATGAGAAAAAGTGAGTGCGGCACATATTATGAAAAAAATAGTAGACAATCATTTGAGATAATTGGGACATATTAGGAAAAGCACCGATGAGGAGAGTGAAATGGATAGTTTTAAGCTTGGTAAAGAAAGATATAAGAGGACATTTATGGAAATTGTTGAACAATATCTTTTAATTAATAATATTCCTAAAAATTTGATTGATGATATTGTATAATGATATCATGTAATCCATATAATTAATTTCACTAATAAGATAAAGCTTGCTCTTGTTTGTTGGTACTGTGTATGTGCCAACTTAGGAAACAGCGTGCATAAGGTTTTTTTTTTTAATAAAAAAATCATATGTGAGGACCGAATGTTGAACAAAATAATGCCGCCTTTGATTTGTAAGGAAAGTCATTATACAATACGCGGTTTAAATTAGGCACAATAAAACACGTCACTTCTAAACTCTGGTACAGTTTATGATGGGCTTGGCCCATCATACGAAATGTAGCATGGCTGGGCAGGAAAATATAAGGGTCATGGAAGCCCATAGTTGATTGCATCATCATCATCATTTCAAACCGCTTGTCACCTATTCGAGCTGATTTTAGGCGAGGACAAGCGGGACCAGGAATCTCTCCACTTTTCCCTCCACTTTCCCATCCCCACCATTCAAATTTTTTTATTAAATAATTTTTTTAAATGATAAAATTAATGAATGGTGAGGATGGGGAAAGTGGAGGGAAATGAAGAAAAAGGAAGTGGAAAGACCCCACTTCCGGACAAGCGAGCCCTGCGTCCAGTTGTCACTTGCCAGGTCTAAAATATGGAAGAGGCAGCCACCTTAAAACCAATCATCAAATTACTACTAAATGAAATGGAAGTCGTGATCCTTGAGATGGATCTAAGGACATATGTCCAGGTAGCGAATCTCCTTTGATAGAAATCCCCCTCCTAATCCACAAATCAATTCCACCGACCTTTCAACTCTTCTATAATCACACTATACTCACCACTTTCAATGACACGTGGTATTCATATCTGCAAAATTCCGGGCTCATAAAATTACATGCAATCCTTTTCGTAATGCACTATCCCAAAAAATCAAAAGAATAAATTTCATTTGCTCAAATACTTAGTGACATAAAATAAAAACATTTATCAATTTTTAAAATTATTCAGGAGCTCCAATAATAAAAAAGTTGCAATTTGACAGGGGTCCGCTTGTCGCTCATCATATTACGAAAAAAGATTAATAAATGATACTCCTAACCTTGATTATGTATAGGTACGTAACTTCTATTTTAAAGCATAAAGAACATGGAATGGAACCAAATCAAATTCATGCAGTATTGGGTTAAAGGTTGAGTGACAGGACGACAGAGATGCAGAATATGAGCATCATCTTTTGCACTCAAAAGGGCCAACTGCAGAACCAACGTACATGACATATCGGAGACACAGAACGTTGGGAACCACTCTTATGTTTTGATCTGGTGCTTTTTTTATTATTATTTTTTGTTCCCCGTAAAAAAATTGGCAGGACAAGGAAAAAGAAAAGCGGCGAGTTATCCCCCATTCCTATTTTTTCATTTTACGAGAGACTCCCATTAATATTAATATACCATAACAGAAAAGAGAAAAGTGAAGCAGAAGCCTGAAGGCAAAAGAGGCTTCCAAGGCAGGCAGGCTCCACATCCATCTTCACCCCTAATATTTTGTTCTGATCATATTCTGAGACGCCTCTCTCTCTCTCTCTCTCTCTCTCTCTCTCTCTCTCTTCCCCCTCCCCCACTACCAACTAAGCAAAATCACAGCCCCACTCGCTGCTATAACTCTAATGGCAGTTCCAGATGTGGCTCCACCACCCGCGCTTCTCCTGCTGCTCTCCATTACCGCTTCGCTCTGCACGGCTGTCGTCAGAGGCCAAGTCATGGGCGTCGGAGGAGCCAGCTGGTGTGTTGCCAGAAGCGACGCTAGCAGCCAGGCCCTCCAAACAGCCCTCGACTACGCGTGCGGCTCCGGTGCCGACTGCCATCCCATACAGTCCGACGGCCTCTGTTTCCTGCCAAACACCATCCAAGCTCACGCCTCCTACGCCTTCAACAGCTACTATCAGCGCAAGACCCGTGCTCCCGGCTCTTGCGACTTCGCCGGCACTGCCACTATTGCCCAAACTGACCCCAGTACTGTTTCTTTCTTTCTTTCTTTCCACCCATTCATGCTTTCCTTTTCTCTTTCGCTCATTCCTAGATCTTTTTGTGTCCGTAGGCTATGGATCTTGCGTGTATCCGACTTCGTCCAGGTATGCTCTCTTCTGTTTCTCCGTGGATTTACGTATACCATAGACTCTGTTAGTGAACTCCACTGTGGTGGCTCATGGACACTTCTTTCTTTCTTTCTTTCTTTCTTCTTCTTCTTCTTCTTCTTTTTGAAAAAAAAAACCAAACACTTTCGGGTCTTTCTTGATATACAAGCATATGGATTCTCCGCTGTTGTGCTGTCTTTCTTTGTTCTCTTTCTTTCTCTTTTCTTCACTTTCCGGATCCAATGGCCTCGTCTTGCAATTTGAAATGACCCAAGTCAAATGAGAGACAGCCACAGAAGCTGGGCTCTGTTTTCTTGGCTAAGGGACAGTGACGAGAGGGATCGATTTTATTTAGGTGTGAAGAGTTGGCGAAGGAGCTAACGTGAGTCTGTGACACGCGGCTTCGTGCATGGATGAAGGGTCCTTGGTCCCAAACTTCCTGTTTTTTTTTTTTTTTCGCCCCGGTAAATAAAAGTCCTAACCCCGATTTTGAACACGATAGATGTCGTTTTGCATTTTCTTGAATCGAAACCCGCGTCGGGGTCGTCTGGTAGAGTGTATCCTTTTAAAAGTCTCTGGGAAACCTAACGGCTCAAATTCATTATTAGATTGTACCTTGGGATATTATTACAACGCATGAGGCTGCTATGCTTTCCAGAGGTAAAGTAATATTGCCAGTATAAGATGCGATGATGTGTTGATTGAAGCTCTCACGTTCACGTCAACTTGTCATGTTTTTTATTAAATTTGGGAATGGAAATTGGAATATATGAATATGAGTGACGTCCTTTGCTTCTCTCCCTGCCCCAATATAATAGGCCATGGCCCATACTCTTCACACTCTTAACTATTTATCAAGGGGGCATCCTTTCACGGGAACTATGAAATGAAAATACGAAGTTACCATGGCTTGCCAGTTGGCGTGGAATGGTTATGACAATTTGCAGTAAATTTTTTGTACATATTATTGAACATTGATCAGCCAAAGGATTTAACAATTCATGGAAACCTGAAGAGTCTTGATGTCTTGTTTCCCACTTTTGTGTGGCGCGTGAGTGTCAACACCCACTCTTTTAATAGATTTCAGTTTGGAAGGTGATATCCCGGCAAGATTTAGATTGTAAGACACCTTCAGAAGAAAAGAGAGAAGGGGGGGGGGGTGGGGGTGCTTTTGACTTTGAGGCTGCTCATGGCGAGGACAAATAAAATTGAAGAAGATTTGAACATGATGGGCGGCTCCGCTCTGCCAGTTTAACTGAATGAGAATAGTTTAGTGAATATTTGCTGGAAAAAAAGATGCTTGTCATCGGGACGAATCTTTACTAGTAGCAGTATACTCTGTGAGCCTTTTGACCGAGCATCAAAGAAGATTGTTGATGAAGACGTGGCCGTAGTGACGGGGCACGATGTTTTGAGTGGTGCATCCGTGGGAATAAATTGCAGCTGCGAATAAAGCTGTATAATTTGTTCACAAGTGTCCATGGTTTGCCGTCCAAAGTAAAACATTTAACTGCAAGTTGGTCTGATGAAATTGGCTTTTGCACTGAGCCATCCAGGAGCATTCTTTTCCTTTGTAGTTTAAGTGCCATTTCTAAACTATCTGACGCTGATATATTATGATGTGTAGCACTGCTGGAGGGACGAATATACCAATCACAACACCGCCGTTGATCAACCCAAATGTGCCAACTCCGACCACAACATCACCCTTCTTCGGCGGGGGCGCAGCTGGTGGCGGAATCAATCCGGGGATGACCTCTCCTGTGCCTGACAATTCCAGAGCAACCTTGGCAACGGCCAACGCCAGTTTAGTTTTATCTTCTCTTTTCTTGTTACTTACTTACCTTTTGATTCTAGCGTAGTAGGGTTCTGGGTTTAGGGTTTAGAGAAGCCTCTTCCTGTTCATAACCACACATCTCTACGCCACACATCTCTTCCTGTTCATTTTCCATTTTTAAGGTTATGAATAAGGCTGGCTGTTCAGGGAAAATGAGCATAGCTAGGGTTGCAGCTAGGCCTTTACTAGAAATTCTAGATTGATAGACACCTCTCCCCCACAAAAAACACCAAAAAAAAAAAATCAATTCAATTAGTTTTTTTAAAGGTTGTCTTACGGACATTGTATTTCATAGACACTTCAATATTATTAGTATATTATTCAGTATTTTTTTTTCTTTTAACGCGTGCTTCCATTCGATGAGCACTCGAAATTGTTATTAATTATAGAACCGAAGACGAAAATGTAAATGTAATGAAAATATTCTAATCTAACGACTGAGGGACAAGACTGTACATAAAACTTAAAATCCACTCTTGTTGAAATAATGAACAACACATTTAAAACAGAAAGTGGGACTCACGCGAGTTTAGACCTCAACCCTTATTTTTACCTCTAACATATACCATACCAATGAGACAATAATTGCATTTTCTGTTAAATTATCTTTAGAAAAAAGTCGGCTTATTATTAAGCTTATTCATGGATCTGGTTTCCAAGTCAGCTGACATGCAAAAAATATACCTCTGGTTCCTCTGTTCTTCAACTTGACTCCTTGCGGTGTATTAGTTAAATTTTTGAGCTGACTCCTCAAGGATCCTAGAAAACCAAAGGAATAAATCATCAAGGTGAAAAATTCTGTTCAGATTATGATGCTTAAATTCATCATTTTATTGGGAAGCTGAAGCTGCATGCTGTCCTTAAAATTTGTTGTTTCAAATAACTCTCAAAGCAGAGCAAAATGTAATTTCCAAACAAATCCACTAGGCTCCCAACCCCTTCTTTCCACCAATTTTTTATTTTTTTTTAATACGCTCAAGAAATAAGCTAAAAAATAAAGAGGATGATAGAGAGGTTTCATAATTTGCAACTCAATCTCTTAATTTTGCAATTCTGTTATAATGAACTTGAAACTTGTGCTTCAAATTTTAATAGAAAAAATAAATATTTTTATTTTTCAACTATGTTAAAATTTGAAAAACAAGTTGTAAATTCATCGTAACGTAATTGTAAAATTAAGAGATTAACGTAATATGATAATTAGGACTTAACTTGAATTAATTGATCCTTTTGGAATTTTTTTTATTCTCCCAAAAAAATATGATGTGTCCCTAACACTACAGAACAGGTATAGGTAAAATTGTTGCTGAAATTCATAATCCTTTTTTTTTTATTTTCCTATTTTATGCCAAATAAAACATTTATTTTTTGGAGTCTGAATGCAAAGGGTTATTTGTCAACGAGCAAAATGAAACACATGAGTCCCTTCAGGGACATTCAATAAAATTGGAATGATACATAGAAGATTAGCATGGCCCCTGCGCAAGGATGACACACACAAATTGAGAAATGGTCCAATTTTTTTTTTTTTAAAAATGAAACACATGAATGTTTTATGTACCTGTGGTTTCACTAGACATTTTTCAGGCTGCCTGACAATGTATATCTGATCTCCAGCAGCGTTATAGAAGTCCTGATTACGGTGCCATGTCCACAATGCATAAGTTTCATTTTTCACCTGCGTGTATAACTTAACCCATTACTCGTAGTTCTATGGAAACAATGCATCAAATGTGTGACTCAACGTAAGATAAAGAGTAAGACCTCAAGAATTCCATGGCCAAAGCTACTCTCTCTGAATGCACTATAATCAGGCTGCTGGTCCCAGCAGAATTTACCAGCTGCTGGACCAGATGTGAAATTGAAGGCACAGAAGCCACCCATGAAGTCATCTGGTGTAGTTGTTGGTTCCGGACAGTTACCAGGTTCATCAGCATGTGTGATTGCCATCTTTTCCCAGTTACCACCATCACCAACTGTGATATAAACAGGACCACAGGGATCCAATGTATAGTTATAGACTCGGTTTGATCTTTCATAGGCATGTACCTGTTCAATGTTCCCATATGAAATTTGTTTGCTCATATAACTTCCTCTCAAAGTAAGTACTTACGGGACCTTTTGGAAAATCACAAAAGTCCTAACGAATCCAAGCAATGAATGTTGCTTAGTTCGTGTAGGTGCATGGAAAACAAATACACTTACATGTCCATTGAAAACCACATCAACACCATATCTATACAATAAATCTTCCATCTCAACCCTCATACATTCTGCTTCTCTATAATGTGACTTGTAGGTGCTGTACCAAGGTGGATGCCATGCAGCTACCAACCATGGGGTTACTTCTCTATCAACAGAAGCCAGATCTCTCTCCAACCACCTGTACTGGTCTGCTGTCAAAAGAAAAAAAAAAAAAAGGAGAAGACAATGATGAAACAATTGCAGCAAGATGTTATATGATATGATATACAGAAAGATAAATGGAGAAAGTACGAGCCAAGAGTTAACCAGATTTATTATATGATATGTAGGCACCAAGCATTATAAAATGTATTCCTCCAGCATTGAAAGAATAGTATAATGTGGATGATGATCCGCTCTCTTCAGATGGGAATGCAAATCGAGAACTATAAGAGACAAATGTCTGGTTTTCAGCTTGTAGTTCTATCTCATGATTCCCTTCTATTACCATTATTGGAACAGAAGAAATCAGAGGCTCCATGTACCTGCTACCAGTAACTGACATTAATTAGATCCTTGTCGATACATTTGAACACGTAAAACCTTAGCTGCTTATTATTGCTCAGATGTCTCCAAATTCACATTTAGGTTCATATAATGAGTATTAACATGTAACAAAACAAGTATTTTATTCTTCTGAAAAGTCCATTGATGCAACAAATCCAGTAAAGTACAAGTTTACCTTCCCCAATAATCCCAACGAGGCTGATATGTTTCGTGGATAGGAGTATCAGAAAATGTGCAAGAGTAGCAATCTGACCCAGTTCCATTAGTAAGATACAAATTAGCATAACTAACATCTCCAACCAATAGAATAAGTTCAGGATGGTTTATGGCCATGTGATTCACAGTAGATATGGTATTATATGTAAGACCAACGTCTCCAACAATTGCTATTCTGCTAGGGTAGCTCTTGGGGCCAGAAACTGGCATAGTCCTGAAATAGTGAACACCACTCATTGCTGCCAGGTTTGGATCTCCGCATTGATACTGATATAACGTGTTGGGTTTTAACCCTGCCAGCAAACACAACGCACTTCTGAAATTAGCTACATATTCAGGTACTGCTAAATCAATTTTGATTCATGAATAAGGTTTAAGCCCTTGGGAATGAGTGGCAAAAATGGAGGAGGGTAAGTTCTTTCCTTTTTCAAGACAACTATGTTTAGTTGGACAAAGTTTACAAAATCATATTAGAATTTAGATGAAAGAGAGGAAGAGGGGAAAAACACCTTTTAAGAGAAAGAGAAATCAGTAACAAAAAGAAGACCTGTGAGACGAACATGATGTATAATTCCAGAAGTGTAGTTCTGAAGTCCTTCAAAAGGATAGAGTTGGCTGTAAACGAGGGAATAGCCCGCGGCTTCCTCAGCGATCGGCTTTCCGAACTCTCCAAACTGAACTATGCTAGCAACCGTATTAGGATCCAATGGTTCTATATTGTACCCAATCTGGAACTCTCCTGCAAATACAATCCAATCAAATATTTCATATAGAACGCATAATTCGTACAATGTGCTTGAATTTACACACGGAACCGTTTGAGTTTAAGGCAGAAAGAATGCCCACGATCTTATGCTGAATACATTCAAATATGAGCGATATTAATTTTGGGAGTTAAAGGAGAGACTTTTTTAGCTGACAGGATTTAAAGAGATAGACTTTGGTAAGTCATTCAATTCAAGCCTCTAAAATTGGACACTTGCGGGCATCTACAGTGCCACAACTAACGTCTTTATATTCATGTGATACCATTTTTCTGAAGCTATCATTTGAAAATGGACCCCACTTAATGAGAGGACAAAAATGGAACCAAATGCCAAGTAAATGGAAGAAGAGGCGCACCAGTGATCCAAGAAACCCAGACAGAATCATAGTTGGAAGAGAGGGAAACGGAGATTTGTTCGGGATGAAATCCTTGGACTTTTCTTTGAAGCAGAGTATCCGAATTTGGAAGGTCCACAGCTTGTCCTCGGAAGCTCTGGTCAAGAGGAACGGTCACAGGCTTGAAGGGTCCTTCCAGAGTGGTAGGTATTTCAGCTTCAACAATCACCGAGCTCAGAGAAATCAACAGAGACAGAGCAGTTAAGAACTCTAAATTCAAGGCCATGATAGATGAAAGAGTCCCGGAAAGAATAAAAGATAGTGACTCGCGTTCAGCCTTCAGGGCTGACGAGTTTATTTATATATTGATATATAGCGAGAGAGCGAGCTAGTGTAGAAGGACGAAGGGAGAGTCGAAGAATTCATACGAGGGAAAATGATATTTGAGGAGAACGGCGGGGCGGTGTGACGAGCGCGTGGCTGGGAAATAAAAATAATAGAAAATCGAGTAAACCTCTTTTTTTAAATCCCTGTTCCGCTTTCATGATATGGATTTTTAGAGTATTTCTGTTTTATTGTGCATTTGAATTTGAATGAATTTGATGTATGTATGAATGTAGAACATAAAAATATCAATGAGCCTCACTTTTGATTCATTTTTTGAAATCTTGTGAAACGCAAACCCCGTTTTCCTTGACTTTTTTTTTAATGCATATCAGAGTTCCAATTCTGCACTAATAAAGCATGGAGATTGGAGAGTGGCTTTTATTTTGGTTACAAGTCTTTGGGATGGTAGAAATAAGATCAAAGTTGCCTATGTCATTGGTGTCCTGTGCCTTTTCATTTCTACTCTGTCACTGGTAGGAGTGGCCATGGCCGTGGGTGCCTCGCTCTCTGGTAGTGGTTTGCTCCCTCCTTCTCGCTCACTCTCTTCCCTCTTCTTTCTTCTCACTTCAGTGTGAGTTTGATTCATCCAACATGAGGCGACTCTGTCCAGGGATTTTTCAAATTAGTAACTCTATCGCTGTGCCTTTTAAACTTGTGTTAACCTCCATGCTTGTTGCAATTTCCAAGCATATCTTCTTCGAAATTTGTATTGCTTCTTCTGTAATCTACACATTGAATACAATTTTTTTTTTTTTCCATACAAACATGGAATACAATTTTAAAACATAGCATTTTAATGTCATTAGAAATAAAGACATTAAACATGTAAAGCTAAGCATATAAATTTTCTCCTATTAAATACTTATTTTTGTAAAAAAATCTAAAATCTAAACCAAGCATGGTAATGGTGAAAACAACACCCCCACGGTATCAACAAAAGTTCAATGATAAATTCTTAAAAAAAAAAAAATTAAATGTACTATGTCATTTGTGATTTATGAATTTGACGCTCAAATAATATTAAATATAAATTAATTTTTATATTAATAATTGTGAAAAGAAAAAAGGTAAGAAATTAAATATGAATTTCATTATAAAAATAAAATTAATTAAAATAATATTATATAATATTTTATTTATATAATTTGGAACATTCTAATTGAATAGATAATAAATATCACGATACACTTAATTTATTTAAGAATTTTTAAATATTCATTTACACATTTCTACTCTTTCCTTTTATGCGTTTTGAATTTAGGCAAAAGCCTTTTTCGGTCAAAAGATAATGATCGCAATTATTAAGTGCTCTTTATTATTGTGTGTTTTTATTGCACTTTATTGCTCTAATAATTTGAGAATTGAACGAAGTTAACGACAATTTTAATGTTGGTGATTATTAATTTTAAACTTTCTATGAATGGTGGATTGTAAGGATGAATATTTTAAATATTAATAAAATTTATTATTGTCAGAATTGTTTGATGTTATGTGAGATATTGAATTTTGAATATAGATTGTTTAAATTTATTATTTTAATTCTGATCCATAGAACTCTGATTTTACCTTGTTTAATTTTAGCTAGACCACCTATACTAAATCTAAGCACTTTTTCTGATAGCAATTTAAGGGCCATTTGAGTAAATGATTTTTTGCAACGTACATTTGTATTTATGAGATGGGGGGGTGTTATTTAAAAATTTTATGATTCAGCAAATTGATATTTTGAAACCACGCTAAAAAAGTTATCAAAAGTGAATTTGGAAACACATATTATTGGAACTTTTTAAATTAGCTTTCTATTAAATTTTTGAATTTACCATACTATTTTTTTTTTCCTTGCATTTGATTAGTTTGAGGTCTATTTTTTGACTTTTTAACATGTTAATACTCTCTTATGGTGTTTGTTGCATGCTCTATATTTTTATATATTTTATTGAGTTCCGTTCACTTACTTAATAATTTTTATTATATTTTAATAAAATTTGCAATTCAATTAAAAATTAAATTATATATTATAGATTGACAGTCAATCATATTAATTTTTAATATTAATATATTTTGAATTATTTATTATACAATTTTTTAATATATTAAACTATATATTTTTATTTTTTATATTAAATTTTATATCATTTAAAATTTTTATTGCATTTTTTAAACATTTATAATGTATTACACTTAAATTACAATTTATTATACATTTATTAAACTAATTTTTTAAAAAACATGTTAAAAGTAAATTTCATTTACAACGATTATTTTATTAAACTGACTTCTGTCAAATCATTTGGTAGTCAAGTTTTCGCATTTCATTTCGTTCTGGCTTTAATATCTACAACTGTGACACAGCGTTCCTGGCCGTTCTCAGAGGCGCCTCTCCGATTCTTTTCCTCCATTTCTCTCTACCTTCCATCTCAATCATTCATATATTTTTTTTAAATTTATTTAATAAAATAATATGAATGGTTGAGATGGGGAAGTGGAAGGAAATGGAGAGACGCTTGAGTGACTCGGGAGATTCTGAAGACTTCGTTGCCGTCCTAGATACCGGGGTGTTAGTGTGCTACATGTATGTCTCTTGATTTTCTGTGGATGAGAGATATTGCGGGACACCGAGACTTCGAATCCCCCTTGAAAGGATTGAAAATTTGCTTTTGTGGTCGTGATTCGTGAAAAAGTTCCGGACCGTGTTTGCATTGCATGTTAACTCAACAATCCATGCGTCCTACATCCCTTTCTATTCACAGGTTCCTTTTATGTTCCAAGTTCAACACTTTTCCATGCCAATCTGGGCGTCAAATTAATGCGAAACTCAACAAAAAGAACCTTAAGGTAACGAACGCTAAACGATTTATTGACGTCATGTGTTTGGTTATCTATGGGATTCTCACGGTTTAAGTTCCTCTCTTTCCCTTGATTTTTAGTTCACCTGTGGAAATGTGAGGAGATTGAGTTTGGCAGCTGTCAGTAACACAGCTCTTTCTTATCCTTACGACGAACTTCCTGGGCAACAAAATGAAGGGGAAATAAAGGATATTGATTTCTTGCTTCTAATGGAAGATCGTGGAATTCGTGCTAATTGTCAAACCTATTTATGGTTGTTACAAGGGTGTCTCAACTCTGAGTCTCCTATGGATTCTTGGAAGCTTCATGGGAAGATTTTAAAATTGGGTTTTTATGCAGAACCGAGCTTGTGTGATCGACTTATGAACGTGTACATTGCTTTTGATGATTTAAATGGCGCAGTCAAGGTTTTTGATGATATGCCGGCAAGAGCTGTGTCATGTTGGAACAAATTGATTGGAGAATTTGTCACCAGGAAGTTAAGCAGTCTGGTTCCCGGTCTTTTTCGGTCAATGATCGATGAAATGGTTAAACCTGATGAGAAAACGTTTGCAGGGGTTTTGAGGGCATGTGGTGGTAATGATGTTCCTCTCAAGTATGTGGAGCTACTACATGCTAGGACTATAACTCATGGTTTTGAAACAAGCACTCTGATATGTAATCCTTTGATTGAAATTTATTTCAAAAATGGCTTAGTGAATTCTGCCAAGAAAGTCTTTGATGATTTACAAATAAGGGATAGCGTCTCTTGGTTGGCTATGATATCTGGTTTATCTCAAAACAGGTTTGAAGAAGAAGCCATTCTTCTATACAGCCAGATGCATGGTTCAGGAATCTTCCCAACTCCTTATACATTTTCAAGTGTACTAAGTGCTTGTACCAAAATAGAATTATTCAAGTTTGGAGAACAGGTCCATGGTCTTGCTGTCAAGATGGGGTTTTCTTCTGAAATGTATGTGTGCAATGCTCTTGTTTCATTGTATTCTCGTAAGGGAAATTTGATATCTGCAGAACAGATTTTTGAAGACATGTTTCACAGGGATGGGGTTTCATATAACTCACTCATCTCAGGTCTAGCTCAGCGAGGATATGGTGACAGAGCTCTAGACTTGTTTAAAAAGATGCATCTTGATTGCCTAAAACCAGACTGTGTAACAGTTGCCAGTCTTTTGAGTGCATGTGCATCAGTTGGGGATCTTCTCAAAGGGAGACAGCTTCATTCATATGCAATTAAAGCAGGAATGTCTTCAGACATAATCTTGGAGGGTTCGTTACTTGATCTTTATGTAAAATGCTCGGATATAGAAACTGCCCATGATTTTTTCTTGACAACAGAAACTGAAAATGTGGTGCTGTGGAACATGATGCTCGTGGCTTATGGCCAACTTGAAAATCTAGACGAGTCATTTGAAATATTTAGACAACTACTAATAAGAGGCATTGGACCTAATCAATTTACTTATCCAAGTATTTTAAGAACATGCACTTCTTTGGGGGCTCTTGATCTGGGAGAACAAATTCATACTCAAGCACTAAAAACTGGCTTTCAGTTTAATGTGTATGTCTCCAGTGTGCTTATTGATATGTATGCCAAACATGGGAAACTGGATACTGCTCTCAAAATCCTGCGAAGACTTAAAGAAGAAGATTTTGTTTCCTGGACAGCCATGATTGCAGGGTATGCACAAAATAATATGTTCACTAGCGCTCTTAAGCTCTTCAAAGAAATGCAAGATCGAGGGATCCAATCTGATAATATAGGATTTGCTAGCGCAATCAGCGCATGTGCAGGCATTCAAGCACTTGATCTAGGACGGCAGATTCATGCTCAATCATGCATCTCTGGTTACTCAGACGATCTTTCAGTTGGTAATGCACTTGTTAGTCTTTATGCCAGGAATGGGAAAGTACAAGAAGCATACTTAGCTTTCAAAAAGATTTTTGATAAAAATAATGTATCATGGAACACGTTGATATCGGGCTTCACTCAAAGTGAACATTTTGAGGAAGCACTAAGTCTATTTGCTCAAATGCATAAAGCTGAGCTAGAAATCAATTTATTCACATTTGGCTCTGCAATTAGTGCTGCTGCCAATATTGCAAATATTAAAGTAGGGATGCAGATTCATGCTATGATTAAGAAAACTGGCTATGATTCAGAAATTGAGGTTTCTAATGCTTTGATCTCATTATATGCAAAATGCGGTAACATCAATGATGCTAAAAGGCAATTCGTTGGAATACCTGAAAAGAATGAGGTTTCTTGGAATTCCATGATTACAGGATGCTCTCAACACGGTCTTGGATTTGAAGCACTTAGCCTTTTTGAGGATATGAAACAGCTTGGTGTCATGCCAAATCATGTAACCTTTGTCGGAGTATTGTCAGCTTGCAGCCATGTGGGCTTGGTAGATGAGGGAATTAGATACTTCAAATCAATGATTGAAGCACACAGCTTGGTGCCTAAACCTGAACATTATGCTTGTGTTGTGGATCTTCTTGGTCGGGCTCGTCTTTTAAGTCGTGCAAAAAGATTTATAGAGGAGATGCCAATTCAACCAGATGCAATGATTTGGAGGACCCTTTTAAGTTTTTGCACTATTCATAAGAATATTGATATTGGAGAGTTTGCAGCACGTCATCTTCTGGAACTGGCACCTGAAGATTCAGCAACCTATGTTCTGTTATCAAATATGTATGCAATAACTGGGAAATGGGGTTGCAGGGACCGGACAAGGCAAATGATGAAAGATAGGGGTGTTAAGAAAGAGGCTGGTCGTAGCTGGATAGAAGTCAATAACGCAGTTCATGCATTTTTTGCTGGCGATCAGCTTCACCCACTTGTAGACAAGATTTATGCTCATCTCGGGGATCTTAATGAGCGGGCAGCTGACAATGGTTATGAGCCACGGAGAAATAGCCTTTTGAGTGATGCAGAGCGAGAGCAGAAAGACCCAACTCAACTTATTCACAGTGAGAAACTAGCAATTGCTTTTGGATTGCTTAGCTTGTCTGGCTCCGGTCCTGTACGTGTTTTTAAAAATCTTCGTGTTTGTGGTGATTGCCACAACTGGATTAAGCATGTTTCCAAGATATCAGATCGGGTGATCATAGTTAGAGATGCATATCGCTTTCATCATTTTGAAGGTGGAGAGTGTTCATGTCAAGATTACTGGTAAGCTTGTGGGAGGTTGACAAAGGTGAATTGATCAAGACTTTGGTGGACCACAATTTATGTGAATGTGTTGGTCGTCCTCGGTCATCTATGCCTATGGTAGGAACTTTATCCTGAAATAAATGGAGAGATGTTTAAGAATTTGGCTTGTTTCTTATAAATGTGATAATTTTTAGGGAGAATAACAACCAGGTGCTACATAAGAAAATTAATTACTGTAAGGTCTATTGATGCAGTTTAGTTCAGTTGTCAATGGACCTTAATTAATATTCTTGTGTGGGACTTCAATGTAATTTTCCCTAATTGTTATAGTTTGAATATTTTATTTTTTCTGTCTTGCTTCCTTATTTATTTACTTCAGCAAAATCAAATTCTTGTGCGCTTTACACAGTTGCGTCAGATTTGAGAATTTTATCTTTATGTTGACCACTTTTTAATTTATCTCATGATTCTTTATTCTTCTCTGTCAGGTCAACTGTATGACAACCAACACATTCAATGGCCTGCCTTTGCATGAGTTTTTTGGGTCCTTATTAGGTTCCCAAGCCATCGGCGACTGTTGATGACATTTGGTTTACCTTGAGAGCTTCAGTCGGCAATGGTTGGGCTAGCCACATGGCAAATTTTTAGCCATAATCATGTTTGGGTGATTTTATTAATGATTGGAGAAAGAGTAAAAATATATAGGTGGCATATTAAGTGGGAAAGGAGCAATGTTGTGTTAAAAGATGAGATGAGTGAAGAGTTACTTTTTCATTACAAATCAATTGTTGAGAGACTTATACCCAAACCATTGATATGAAAATCAAGACATTTTTTTCAACCAATATCATGATGATGTTTGCATTAATCTTGACTATGGATTTGTGATCTAAGGATGAGTATTCCCTCCTCTCACATTTCACGTAGGATCACTCCCATCACAGATATCTTAATGACCAGGCAGTTGAAAATGGCTGAAAATCTGCTTCTTATACACCTTGGCACCCAAAGTTCGCCACTGTTTGCTCTTCAAGATCTTATGCAAGAGACAAGACAGGCAGCGGCTTTCGAAACATACACATTCTGTGCTTGCAGGGTGTTTCGAGTTCAACCATTGATATGGCACAAATATTGTTTCTCTATAAGTGCTTTATGTAGTGTTAGCTTTTAGGTGAAATGATTTCTGAAATGATTTATGTGAAGCTCTTTTTCAGGTCTAGCAGTGTTAGCTTTGCATGATTGGCAGACATCTTCAAGAGGGACTTTGGTTGCTTCATGTGGTTGTGATCCAAGAAGGGCTTAAACTTCAACCTATGATGCTTCATTTCAGCAGCACCACCCATGATAACTTGGTCGTGGAGGCCTACTTTAAGCCAATTTATGATCGTGGAGCTAGTGCTTCAACAGTTATAACACCAGAGATTCAATCTCTAATATTGCAAGATTTACCATTGGGGATCTATAATCAGTTTGAAACTTCACAGAATCACAGTGGTATTTTTGTTGAAGGCGCTGATTTATTTTTTAATATTGCAGCATATTTTCTGTTATTTACGATATTAATATGTTTATCCTTGGATAATATTAAGTATTATTTTTTTGGTTATGTTAAAAACATATTGGTATTTCAAAAGGAATAATTATTTTTATTAATAATATTAAACACTGTTTAAGGCTATTAAAACTGAAAATTGATTTCTTTCACTGTCTTCAAATGTAACGTTTAGAAACCATCAAAATGAATTAGTGAAATGAGTCATATTGTTTATAAAACTAGTAATTAAATAATTCTTTGAGGCTGTCCAAATGTTGTGTGATTTTGTTTATGAATACTACGGAGTGTTGTGAGTCCAGTGTTAGGCTCTTGAGTTTTTGAGTTAATTTTTTTCCTCCACCTCTAAACTATATTGTACTGTTTGAGTATTATTCTACTAATCTTTGTTGTTATATATCCCTGTTTATCTTGTAGGAAAAGTCTATTTAATCTTAAAGAGATACCACGTGATCAACTCGATGTGACAAAATAACTTTTAAAAATAGTGTTCTTGACATGATTTAAACTTAAAATCTATTCGCTAGTTTCAACATATTTTTTGTTTAATATCTTTCATATTTTAGAGACTAAATCTAAGATTCTAGAAAATATTAGCAGCATGATATTTAAGATTCTATATACTCAGATTTAAATATAGAAAATAAATGAGATAGCGGCAATTATGCCTTTGTATTTTACAATTTTAAATTTGTTTTAAGGTAATCTTCTAATTGAGCCATGTATCATGGTTATAATGTGATAAAGTTGTATAAAAATGTGTTTTTTTTATTAAAAGAAGTTTAGATAAATTATATGACAAGAGTTCATCAAGATCAATGCATGCTTTTAAATTCAAAGTGTTTATAAGTATTCATAAATATAAATTACCTATTAATATTATTAATAATGGAATTTAAACATGTGACCTTGTGGGTTGAAGTATTTTTTTTTTTAATCAGTTTTTGTATCTCAATACAATAAAATATATTTTTCATATCGATTTTGCAGTTCGTGATAATGTTTTTCTCTATCAATAAATTTAAAGAAAGATTAAAGGTACTTGTAATGTTGCATGACTTGGAAAATATCATCACTTATATAACTGCGCGTCAAATTTACAATCATGACATCCAACTTCATATTAACGATCAATAGCAAGTTGAAGAGAAACAAAGCATCATAAATATGCAAATGCTTTCCTACCATAAACAACGCGTCCAATTATTCTTATAGAGGTAGACAAAAGGGAAGTTAATCAGTTCAAAACATGTGATAAGATACTATTTTTAATCTGCAATACTTCAAATGTCACCAGAAATCTCCACATGAGCAAGTACCATTCCTAAAATGATGAAATCTCTTCAAGTCTCTTAATACAATTTCTCTTTGACTCATTTTGCTAGCACATTTCATTATAAAATGGCAATCGCCACATATTCTCAAGTTCTTCACAATCCTAATAGTCGCCCCAGGAGCAGTACTGATGAGACCAAAAGCAAGAGCCAATTTCTCACTATGCCTTCCTAAAGATTCCTCCTTCTCTTCCTCCTCAATATTATGGAGCACCCAATCAGTTTCAGGCACGTAACCTTCTTTCCGAGCTCCTGACATTATTTCCTCTAATTTCACATATATATCTTTAGCTTGCTTATGATCTTGATCCCCAGCAACAAAACTGTGCACTTGCCCATCTACCTCGATATAACTACATCCAGGATCCTTTTCCACTCCACTTCTTTGCATCAAAATTCTTACTCTCTCTACATCATCCCATCGCCCAACCGTGGCATAAACATTTGACAAAAAGACATAGCTGCCAGGGTGCTTTGATTCAAGCTGCAAGAGCTTGTCTGAGACCAATTCTGCCATTTTTATATTTTTGTGAGCCCTACAAGCACAGAATAACGCTCCCCATATGACAAAATCAGGGGCCACTGGCATGCTTTGGACGAACTCCATTGCTTCATCGAGTCTACCTGCTCTTCCTAAGAGATCTATCACTAACGCATAATGTTTCATTGTTGGCTCAATGGCATACTCGTATCTCATACTGTTGAAGAAGCGTAATCCTGCATGAACTTGCCCAGTGTGTGAGCATGCGGTTAGGATGGCAAGGAAGACGACAGAGTCTGGTCTCAGCCCTGCATAGGTGGCAACATTCAGGCAAACAAAATGAATTAAAATAACAAACAAAAAATTGAGATACTGGTCGGGATTGGAATAGGAAGTGGAAACTTGGGTTCGGCACCTGTAGATTTCATCTGTTCAAAGCCCCGCAGAACTTGCCCATGGTGGCCATGGATTGCCCGTCCCCATAGCATAATACTCCAAGTTAGAAGGTCCTTTTGTTTCATGTTACTAAAAACCTCACTTGCAGCCTCGATCTTCCCACATTTGGCATACATATCCACTAGAGCATTTCCAATTGATTTAGTGATGAAGAAACCAGAATTTGAGATATAATTGTGAATTTGTATTCCAGCCTCAAGTGCACCAATTTTTGCACAAGCTGAAAGAGCAGAAACAATAGTGAGATCATTCGGACTTACGCCTTCTTCAAGCATTCTAGAGAAAAATGACAATGCCTCTCTATGTTCTCCGTTTTGAGAAAAACCTTTTATCATTGTGGTCCAAGAGACCACATTCTTCTCCTTCATTTGATTAAATAGCTCTCTTGCTGCATTCATATCACCATTTCTTGCAAACCCATTTATTAAAGTATTCCAAGACCCAACATTTTTTTCAGGCATGCCTTCAAAAAGTTCTCCAGCCTTGTCCAAATCTCCCATTTTACAACACCCATTAATAGAAACATTCCACAACAGTATGCTCCTACGCTTTATAGTCTGAGGCGTTTCATCAAACAGTTTTAATACAGAACCCAACTTCTCTACTTTAACGTACATATCCACCAAGGAAACTCGAACAAATGAATCAAATTCCAGGCCAAATTTCAGAATCGCACCATGAAGACAATCACCGAGCTTGGCCAAGAGCAAAGCCGCGGCTGATTTTAGTATGAATGGAAATGTTAACTGGTCGGGCCTAACATTCAACCTCAACATGAGACCAAAGAAATAAATTGCACCTTCAAACTCGTCATTTTCACAAAGCCCACGAATCAAAGCATTGCAAACAAACAAGTTTTTATCCTGATACTGCTCAAAGATCGCAAATGCATAATTAATGGATTTGAGGAGAGAACAGGAAGATATGAACTGGGTTGTAACTCGACTGCTTGAGAAGAGGTTGGAAATGAGTATTTGAGCATGAATTTCTCGGAGTTGCCGGCTAGTTCTTGAGGCATGAATAAGAGAAATTATACAGGTTTCGGATCGGTAAGAAAAAGATTTACTATGGAAGAAGATACTAGTGATTGTCTTGGGGCGAAACCATGACTTTGAGAGAGCTAGAAGTGCTTTCATTACGGATCCAGCATGAAAGCACGTAGCAAAGCATGGAGAATCAAATGAATAAGACGTACCATCGTCTCATGGACTTCGCTTACTACCAAGACCTCTCTGTAACTGAAACTCGTGAGCTTTTCTGGTTCTCTCCACAGTCCACAACTCTCCTATTTCTGTATTCGCCTCCAAGGCAGCAAGGCTCCACTGCAACTGCAACGACGTCGTATGGATCTGCAATATCTGGCCTGTAACTTTGTAGTTATACACTTACACTAAATTGCATGTGCCCTGTAGCAAAAGAAAATTCTGCAACAAATCTGCTATTTTATTCTGAAATTTACATAACGTTTTGATTACACGTTTAATTTAATAAAAAAATCGAACCAAAAAATTTAAACTAGAATAAAATCAACAGTTTGAAAATATAAATAAATTTTTTGGCCATCTACTATAGTTTAAATAAAACTAAGCAATTTGAACAATTCATCCAAAATTTATGCCTAATTTGAAACGAAGGGAGAGTTTTAAATGGAAGTAGGGGTGGAAGTGCAAATAAAGATAAAAGTGAAATTTAAAAATATATTTAGTATCTAAGTAGAATTAGAATAAAAATTTCACTTAATATTGTATTTATGTTTTGAAAAGATTAAAATATCCATGAAACATAAACAAGGAAATCGACTCACCAGCTTTCAGAACCGCCCTCCACTCGGCTAGATCCCTGAACCATCGTCCCACGACCCCTACCATCGCCGGAGATTGTCCAAAAATCAGATTTAAATGGATATAGCAATAGATGCAGAAATCAAGAGCACAAATCAAAGTCAGAAATCAATTTCAACATTTTCCTAACCACCACAATCGAATGTGAGAGAAAGCAAAATTGAAAAACAAAAGCTCAAAAAAGAAAAATGAACGAAGCCAAGGATTGCAGGAGATGATAGTGATGATAAGAGAGATAGAGAGAGAAATAAGCAACAATAGTACCAACGACAGTAAACACAGGGGTACGTCGCTGACGTTGCCAGGGAAGAATCATTGTTGGTGTCGCTCAACGCTGCCAGTGGGCAATCTCTGGAAGGGACGAGAATCGTTGTGGTCCCTCGACGCTGCTAGTGGTGAATCGTCGCCGCCGCTGGTGGAGAGTTGCCGTCGCTGTCACTGGTGGAGGAACGTCGTTGCATGTGGGGGTTGCGGATTTGGATCCTCTCAGCAGCCGTTCCTTAGCGGCAGAAAATCCTGGCCCTAGGATTTATATCTACTATCTCATATCTTGTCACATTATCTCATGTTAAAATAATTTAATTTTAAAAATAATTATTTCACAAATTTATCTACCACTTTAGATATATTTTTTATACTAATGAGTCAAAACTTGTTTTGAAAAATTACTTTGCAAAATTTGTTAAACAAGTATTCTTTCAATCCTCTTTATAAATTATTTTTATTAATATTATAAATATTAATGCAAGAAAAGTACAAAGAATAAAATTATGTAGAATTGCAAATATACCTTGTATAACAAATTCAAAAAATAATATCATGTTACTTTTTTTTCTCATTAAGAATAATTTTAAAAATATTTTTAAATATTATCTAAAATGTCGTACCATAACTTATAAATGAGATTAAATAAACTTTTTAGAATATACCTTATAAATGAGATTGGAGGGAGGATTTATTAAATAAGTCAGGCTAAAGTTTGAATAAGCTAGACAATAGATCCCTACAAATAGTTTGAATAATCTTAAAAGCTTGTAAGGACCTATGGTTTAGGTTATTCAGGTCAAAATTTGAATAGGCTAAACAATAAATCCTTACAAATAATTTGAATTTGAATAATTTTTAAAGCATGTAAGGAGTTACAATCTAGGTTATTCAAATTTTGACTTGACTTATTTAACAAAAATCTGTTTAAAAAAAACATGTAGAGTAATTTTTCAGGACAAATTTTTGAAAATAAAAAATTATTTTGACTTGTTAGTATAAAAATATATATCTAAAGTGATAAAATAAATTATAAAATAATTATTATTATAATTAAATTATTTTAATATGAGATGATACAGTAAGATATGAAACATTCAATATAAATTAGGGCCAAAATTTCTTGCCGTTGAGGTAACGGCTTCTGAGAGGATCCAAATCCGGGGATGGTGAGGTGCAATGAGCAGTTTGCAGATATCATGACAAGGCAAGGGCAAAGGGTCCAACAGAAACATGGAACCACTTCCATTATTCTCTGGAGAATTGGTTTTAACAAACACAAAAATACTTACTCCAATTCCATGATACCAAACGCACCATTAGACTTGCCAATTTTCAGCTTAACAGGCTGAAGGCGGAGGCATCATCTTAAGCATAAGTACATATGTGGTAAAAGCATAAGTAATTAAATGACCATAATGTTAGAGACCCTGTGTAAAATATGGTAAATGCATGTTTGAATTATAATTTGCAAAACTAAAATTTTTATAATTTAGAATTTAGAAACAGGAGTTTCGGTAAAAACTAATCCAAATTACTTGTAATTTAATCTAAATTATAGTTTTAAACGTGATTAAGTGAAAAAAGTAATCCAAACACAAAAATTTTTATAAAATATAACTAAAATGAAAAGCAGATAAAACCAAAACGATACAAAAAATGGAAAAGAAAATAATAAAAAAATTTCTTATTCATTTAGGCACATATATTTTGAACATAATTTTTATTTATAGATTTTCAACAATTCAAGTCCTATTTTAATATTACAAACATGTAAAGAGACATGTAATAATGCATTATATGGCCTTTAAAGATTATAGATTATAAATTATGTTAAAAAAAAAGATTATAAATTATTACTAACAAAAAACTCAATTTATGTCCTTCATTATGACATTAAGGATAAAGAAAACTTGAGAGCTATAAGTTACAAACAACTATAACATAATATTTATAATAAAAATAAATAATCCCAATCATTTTTGTCCCACAAATCTTCATTTGAATCAGCCTAACACTAGTACAAACACGCTAATTATTAATTAATCATTCACTAACCAAGTTTTCAAAAACAGCCATATTTTTTTTTTAAATACAAAATGATTGGACGCAGTTCAAGCCAGAAAATCCGAAAATCGTAATCAAAATATGGCTTTGTAATATGTACGCGTATACATCCAAATTTCTCTCGAAATTTCTATAGGTACAAAAGGAAGGATCAGTTTCAGTACATGCCTGAAAATCAAATATAAAACCTCAAGCACTTCAATGAACAGAAGGCAGAATTTTTTTTTATCATGAAAACATCAAAAGCTACAACAGTTTCAAGCCTCCAGTAACACATTACAATTGTAACTAAAGAACTCCAAAAAAGGGATTTTTGATTGCAGAGTCCAGTTCAGAGCCAGCAGAATTCAGGACTGCCTTGTCAACCTTGTCCCTAGTCAAAAACAGGAACTCTCCCCCTTCGATTTTCTCAAACCCACAAATTTCCAGGAAATCAATTCCCCCTTTCAAGGCACCAACTCTTTCCTGTTCAAGTCAAGGAACCAACATTACATGGCAAATTATAGCAAGAACGTGCACATCCATGCCGCAAGCAAATATTTTGACTATTCTATTACGCATGCTGCATGCATACATGCCTTTACTGAATATTGATATGATCTCACAACAGTTTTTATTTTCTCTTTTAACGATTTAGATGCGCGCAAGTCCTGGACCGTATATGAATGTACCACCCTGCTTGTACACTATACAAGAGAAAGATCGCACGCGGTTCGAACTTAATAGAGTGAACCTTGGTCCCATCCCACCCACCACATCATGAATTGAAGCTTACATTTTAAAATTTTTCAAGTACTTTGGCCAAAATAATAATAATAATAATAATAATAATAATAATAATAATCCATGCACATATAACTCCAGCTAGCCCTAGATAATGATTGGAAGATTTTCAGGTACGGCTCCAAGCTGATCTATTTTAGTGAGCTTTTCTGTTCATCTAGTTAGTACTTAAATTAATCAACAAATTTCCTCACGCAAGATTGAAGTTACTCACCTGAAAAGTTTGGTTACTGAGTCTTATTCTCCTATATTTTTCCTCATCAGGACTTTTGGCAACATTCCCCACATAAGTTAGTAGAGTCTGGAATGCTCTCTTTACTCTTGCATCATCATCCTGCTTCAGAAATAAATAATGTTTGATAAATGTGTCGTGGTATTTGATTAGACGGTGCCATGAAACAAAAATAGCAGAACCAGACTTGAAAATCATCTCTTGGTAAAAGGAAAAAAAGACTTGAAAATCATCAATATAAAATACAAACAATATAAGGAGTGTAGGGAGTTGCCCCTATCACAAGATGGAAATCATGCGATTCATCTTGAACACTCTACACACGAGGCCCACTTTAATTATTACACAGCTGACAAATGGTGAAAGTGAAAAATGCAGTAGGTAACATGTAATAAAATGACAACACATCATCATAAGTCATGATACATTCAATAAATAATCTTATTTTACCACAAGTTGGAATGGACACGACATCATTCTAGGGCCGCATAATATAACAAGCATAGAATCATATTATGTAATAAATATATAAATAGGAAGTAGTTAGTTAAAGGAGTTAACAGGCAGTTAGGATAGTTAGTTGATTAATGTCCATAAAAGGGAATAAAGGGTCATTGTAATCAGCGTGTTTGGGACTAATGGAATAGTATTAAGTTTCTTTTCTCCCGTTCCCTCTCCTCCTCTCTATTTCTCTTTGTATCTCTCAGTCTCTCTCTTTTATCTTTTCATTATTCTACAACAAAGCACTTAAAAGAAAAAGAAAAAGGTTATACATGTTGCGTGAAGCTGAAAAAAAAAAAAAGGTTTCAACAAACAGTGGACCATCGTTGAGCCATTCACACACACACACACACACACAAACAAACAAAACTGCGTCTGTATATTCTAAGTGAAAAACTCATGGGATTATTTTAGCTTTTGACCTTCAACATGGTTGAATAAGTTTGCTAGAAATACTAGGTGGGCACATTTCTTTATTAGCTATCTCACATTAACTGCAGCAATATTATTGCTGTAACAATACCAGAATATTGGCCATGACAATCCAGCAGCACAATTCTTAAAAAACCTTGGTCCATAAGGATTTGTTGATATGAGTTATGGACATGGAATTACAATAAGTATATAGAGAGAAATAACGTTGGTTTAGGAAGGCACAGCTTGTTGGAGATGTCAAGCTCTACATGTAGATGTAGTTTGCATTTTGCACGGTAAAATGTATTATCAATCACTGAAAGACATATCAATGACAATGTACCTTGTGGCTCTGCTTGAGAGACCGCAAGCACTCTCTCATTTGCTCAGCTTTTGTAGCAGGCCGAACTGGCAATGAACTCTGAGTATAGAAATTTCAAGTTTTCAAATCAATACATCATTTATGATAAAATAAAAAAATTGTCATATCTACTAGATAAGCTCATACTTTTTTCTCCTCCACGACATTAGCGGGTTGGGGAGCTGATGGTTCTTCAGGAGGTAATCCAAGTCTTCGCCTTCTTTCAGCCTGTCACAATATAGTAACGAAATGATTTTACATAAAAGTCTCCCAATTACAAATTTTTAATTTTCCAATTACCACGCCAGTTTTGCAAAGAAAAAGTCTAAATGTACAACTCAAGTCTTCCAATAACAATGTTGAAAGTACCATTAATGTGACTCAAAAAGTTACATATATGCTATAATTTTCTAATTTTATGTCACACACAGGTCCATGACTTGAGGAGTGACAAAAGATGACATATTACACAAGTGAAACAAAATTAGATTAGAAAGCTTTCTAAAACAAAAGTGATACGATAAATAATAAAAGAACAGGAAAATCTGAAAACCTTGTCTTCTTCCAATTTCTGCCTGATTTTCTCTCTAGCCCTTCTCTCTTCCTCTTTCTCAGCTTTACGCAGAGCCAGCAACCTGAAAAAAGCAACTAATTTACAAAAGCTAGACAAAAGGGAGCAAAAATGCAAGACATTGAGATTGTAGATATTCAAGAGAAGCCAGACCGTTTTCTTTCATTCTCCTCTTCAATTCTTTTTGCTTCCAGTAACTCCTTGCCTATACGAATTCTCTCCTAAATAAAGAATAAAGAATAGGGAAATAAAGGTGGGAAAACTGTAGAAAATATTCACCAAGAATTGTAGTAATCTGACGTTATATACAAGTCCAACAACCACAACATATAGCAGAAATTGAGGCACAAACATTCTCCAAGACAAATGAAGAAATGTTCGTTGCTGAAATATGATTTGCAGAACAATGCACTCATTAGTCATTAATGATGATATAGTCATAATAAACTCAAGGAGTTTGATAGAGATATTAATAAAACCAATCATCTGTCCACAGCTTAAGCTTGAGTCTAACTGACTCTTGACATGATATCATATGAGCCTTCATAAAGGAGTGCGTGGTACACCCCATTCTTAATCAAATTGAAATTTCAGACCAAGTTACAATGTTGACATGTGCTTTGTGCATGTTTAGAGCCAAAATCTATTTTGCTTGACAAGGCATGTTGGAGATATTAAAAGACTCTAAGAGCAAAGATTGCTGCTCAGGAATCACACTAATTAGGAGTCTCCTAAGAGCATCTGAAGGCAGTTTCTAGTTGATTTAATTTATTTTACAGAATTCAGCAGGTTTTTGTCAATTTATCCTTCTATCTCTAAAAGCTTGACTGCCTGCCTTCTGCCAACCAGGTAGCCTTTCAAGGATTAACTCCTCTTTCAGCTCAGTTAAATTAAATTGATACCTTAGTTTCACAATTTTTCCTTTTATTATTTTAAGATTCTTAGAGGATGCACTGGAAAACTGATAGGGCTGCTAAGTGGCTAAGACCTATAGGAGCAGATTTCAAAGAAAGTGATAGAAGAGGGCAAAACAAAAACTACTGGGTCAAAAGATTACACCATGGGTCCGGGTCAAAAGATTACACCATGGGTCCTGGTCAAAAGGGAAAAGAAGTGACATAGGAGAAGGGAGTAGGGGCAGCTAAGGGTAGGGGCAGTGATTTGGTAACTTTTTGGGTTTTAAGTTCTCCAATTCAGCTGAGAGAAGGAGTAGAATCATTTTGGAAAGTGAAGTGAGCTTGGGAGAGTACTAGTCTCTCGAAAGTCTAGCATATTGGGGTGGAGGAAGATCTTCTTGCTTCATCATTTTCTCCTTATGTTTTAGCGCGTGTTAGTAAGTGGTTTATGTTCTAGATTATTGTTCTGTGGAGTGTATTTTGTATTGATTCTTGTACTCTATAACTTTATTATTCTGGGTGTATGAGGGAGTTGGGGTTAGCTTGAATCCTTATCTTCTTTGTCATCTTTCTTTTTTATTACCCAATAATAGTATTTTCAGTCATTTTTACTGTATTTGCTTGGTCTTTTTGCTTGTTTTAAGCTTATTAGTATAGAGGGTTTTATCAAAAACCCATCAATTATTCAAGAGGTAAGTGTTGCAAATAAAGTGGCAATGTCAAATGATAAAAGATGGTTATCACTATCATAATCTTTAGAAGTTGTCTTCTCTATGAAGATTATCTCTTATTCAGAGTCATCCATCTCAGTTTAAATAATAAGAATGGTGATGCACATTGCCACTTTGTGCACAAGCACACCAAAAAGAAAGCCCTCCCATTAACCGTACATGTTTTGTCCATGAATTTCAACAGCCTCCATATTTCGGTCAAAAACAAATACTTAAGTTGTCAAATTGATGAGTTTTAACTTTTATAAGACTGACGTACTTTTGAGCAGGTTTGGTCTCTCTCTCTTAGGTTGCATGAACCTTCTTCATGACTGACCTTGGCCACCGGAAAATCCCTCTGGACAAGCCTTCTCAAGAAGAAAACGATGGACGGTCCAAGAAGAAAAAAGTAGAGGAAGTACCGCAAGCCATTATGGATGATCTTATGGAGGAGAAAGCATCTGAAAATAGTGATAAGAAGAACAAGAACAAAGAAGCTGAAGCAAATAAGGAGTGCAACACCAAACCAATAGTCTCGTACAGAGAATCGTTAATGAATTTCAACGGAGTGGCTCATGGTGGTTATCCTATGGAAGAAGCCGAACTATTTAATGATGATCAGGATATGAACTGGAAATTACTAGAACCATCAAAGGAAGTAAAGAAACTCATGGAGATCTATCCAATAATTCCGATTTCTCAAGAGGAATTTAATGAGTGGTGCAAACTATGGAATTATGCTCTTGTCCTGACAGTACTGGGAAAGAAGTTTAACATGTACAGACTGAAAAAATGGCCTAGCGAGCTATGGGGATTCTCTAGCTTCGAACTAATTGATTTACCAAACAACTATTTTTCAGTTAGGTTCCAAGAAACGGAGAACTGGAAGCATCAATACAGGAAAGTCTTATATGAAGGACCTTGGGTTGTTAAGCAAAATTGTGTGCTGGTTCAAAGATGGTTACCATATTTTAATCCTTACAAAAATCCTTTAGGTTAGAATTCTAGATATTCCCATTCACAGTTATAATAGTCATTTCATAGCAAGACTTGGAGATAGAATCGAGAGAACCTTAAAAGTTGACCTCAACACGCTAGTTAACTTTCAAGCAAAGGATGCCAAGATTGAACAAGGGAGATTCGCAAGAATTTGCGTTGAGTTAGATCTCCAAAAGAAATTAGTTCCTCGTGTGATCACTGCCGAAAAGGCGTTTAATGTAGAGTATGAGGAATTGGGCCTTATTTGCTTTGCTTATGGGAGATTTGGACATCGAAAGGAGGCATGTTCCTAGAAATATAGTTCAAGTGCTCAGCAAAATGGGTGCTCACCTGAGAAATCAACACTGATAGTCACCACGCCAATGAAAACTCCGGTGAATGTGAATATGGAAGAAGGAAAAAGTAAGATCTTTAGGACATGGATGATTAAGCCAGGTTCCTCAGCTCCTCGTTTTCGAAGAAAATGGACAGAGTTCAAAGTCAAATGAGGCAGATGAGTTTCAATCAAAAAGCAACTAGAAAAGAAGTCCAATTTGTTCAGAAATCACGTTTTGCTGCAATAGAAAATCTGGAAGATGATGATCATCTTACACAAGAAAGGAGTCTTTATCAACATATAGAACCCGTACACTTTGACATGAGAGTAAAAGAGCATGTTCGATTTGACAGAGGAGCTTTGGGGACTAATAAAGTGGAGACGTCAGGCAGCCGAAAAGCTAGTTTTGAGAAGCTAGACGGTAGTAAAAGTAGAGATACATATAAACTGAAAGGGAAGGAAAATTATCAGCCTAATTCAATTGGGCCGAAAGCTGAGGTTGGACCCTAAAAGCTGGCAAAAGATGCATATTCTAAAACTAGGCCTGTATTGGGCCAAGGTGCAAAGGACAAGCCAAAAAATAAAGGGAGTAGATGTCATATTGTTGTTAGTGGAAACTTGGACCAACTAGACCGGGGCAAATATAAGGGAGCAGAATTAAATCCAGAGGAGGCTGAGGCGGACCACATGAATTGGGTTGGCCATTCTAAATCTAGTGCAATAGCAGCTGGATGCCTGAATCACTCAGTTTCTTCACAAATCCTACTCCCAAAATCACTTGATCCAAACAAGGCAGAATTCAATGAATCAAATGACCTTACTGAGAAAAATGGCTCAATGGTGGCTGAGATGCAGGAAGAGGAAATGGAGCATTGCCCCTCTGCAATGGTAGATCAATAAGTCCTCTCCGATTCTAATTCTTAGTGATTTAATGATCATAGCATCATGGAACTACAAGGGAGCCGATGGCCATGCCTTCCCTATCATCGTTAAGAATATTGTCAATAGATGTAAAATAAATGTTTTGTGCTTATTAGAGCCCTGTGTTAGTGGCAGCTGTGCAAATAATATTGTTCGGAAATTCGGGTTCAGCCATTGGATCCGTGTTAAGGCTAATAGGTTTGCCGAAGGGATATGCGTTTTGTGGAATGTGTAACATAAAAGTGGATTATGTGACTTCTAATTCTCAACTCCTTCATTGCAAATTCTATGATCTTCAGACTAATAGAGAATTTTTTGTCTCAGTCATTTATAGGGAGACTAGAGCAAGGAATAGAACTATCTTGTGGGAATTCTTAAAATGCTTGGCTAGTAATATGGATATCCCTTGGCTGGTTCTTGGTGATTTTAACTCTTATCTGGATCCAAGTGATAAAGAAGGAGGTGCCCCATCAATCATGAAAACTATACAACATTTTGTTGACTGTATCATGAGCACTGGACTACTTAATCCTCCCTTTAAAGGAAACCATTTTACTTGGGAATGGCATGATGTTCGTGAAAGACTAGATTGGGTATTCCATAATATCTACTGGGAAACTCTCTTCCCAATAACTAAAGTCTTCCATGATTTGAAATTTAGTTCAAATCATAGTCATCTTGGTCAACTCAAATGTTAACACTCCCATGCATGTACAACCATGTCGTTTTTCCTACCTAGCTGCATGGTCACTAGAGGACTCCTTTAAAGAGGTAGTTCAAGATTCTTAAGAGAATGTGGATTGGTTGAGTGGTGTCCCTCTTTTCCAACAAGCTATAGAGGCATGGAATAAGAACCAAATAGGGAATTTTGCTCTTAGGAAGAGGGAAATAATCAGCCGGATTGAAGGGATTGAGAAGAGAAATAGTTTAGAAGTCCGATCAGGTCTCTAACAACTTGAAATTCAGCTTTGGCGGGATTATCACAAAGTTGCAACTCAAGAAGAATTATGTTGGTTCCAGAAGTCTAAAAGTAAGTGGCTCCAGTTTGGGGACAGAGACACTAAATTTTTCATGCATCCACAATCTCTAAACACAAGCATCAAAAAATTTTAGCTCTTAAAGATTCAGATGGGAATTGGGTACAAGATCAAACAACTTTGAAAAATATGGTCTATCAATATTTCAAGGATCTCTACACTAGAGACTCGAGACTGACTAATAATGTTGACTGGCTAGCGGCTTTCCCAAGTATGTCACAAGTAGAGTTGGATTGGATTCAAAGAATGGTTGATTTCATTGAAGTTAAGAATACTGCATTTTCTATTGGGGCTTTTAAGGTACCGGGGCAGGATGGCTTACAAGCCCATTTCTTCCAAACCCAATGGAATTTTATAGGCCATAAAATCTTTGCTCTGGTTCAGGAATTCTTCTCAAAGCCGAAAGTGGTTAAGGAAGTGAATCAGACTAATATTGTTCTTATACCAAAGGTTGAGCATCCCACGTTTTTAAAAGAGTTTCGACCCATCTCTCTTTGCAACATGAGTTTCAAAATCATTACGAAACTTCTAGCCAATCAGTTGAAGGTTGTGATGAATGGTCTGGTAGCCCAAGAACAATGTAGCTTTATTTCAAGCAGAACCAGCTGTGATAATATCATTATTGCACAGGAAGTTATCCATTCGATGAGATTAAGCAAACAAAAGAAGGGGTTTGTGGCAATCAAGGTTGACATGGAGAAAGCTTATGATTGTCTGGATTGGAGTTTCATCCAGGATACACTGGTACAAATCGGTTTGGGTCAACTTCTTAATCTAATCATGGCATGCATTACTACAGCTTCTATAAGGGTGTTGTGAAATGGAGAGGATGGCCTAGAATTTCATCCTTCTAGAGGTATTCGACAGGGTGACCTACTTAGTCCATATATTTTTGTATTATGCATGGAATGACTTGGACAGCTTATTAAAGAAGAATGTGATGCGTTCAAATGGAAGCCATTTGGATTCAACTCACAAGGCCCATCCATGTCTCACCTTTGCTTTGTTGATGATCTGGCACTCTTTGCGGAGGCTTCCACACAACAAATGGGGGTAGTCAAGAGAATCATGTAGAAGTTTTGTGCTGTCTCAAGTCATAAAATTAACATGGATAAATCAAAAATGTTTTGCTCGAGAAACATTCACATTAATCGAAGACTCGAGCTTAGTCAAACTTTAGGCATTAAAGTTACAGCTAACTTGGGGAAGTATCTAGGGATCTCTCTTATACATTCACGGGTCACAAACTCGATTTTCAGCTCAATTATCCAAAAGACAAGACAGCGCCTTTCACCTTGGAAGAGCAAGTTGTTGAACATAACTGGTTGAACTGTTCTCATTAAGGCGGTCCTTTCAGCGCTTTATAGTTATCACATGCAATCAACTTTACTACCTAAGGGGACTATTAAGGAGTTGGAAAAGCTTAGTAGAAGTTTTTTATGGAGTCAAGACGAAAAAATCAAGAAGATGCATCTTGTTGCTTAGGAGCAAGTCACAAAGTCTAAGAAAGAGGGTGGTCTTGGAATTAAAAATTTAAGGCAACATAATGTGGCATTCATAATGAAACTTTACCAGGGTATGACAACAAGGCCTGAAGCTCTATGGGTTAAATGTTTGAAAGCAAAGTATAAGTGTGGAGAATCTCCTATCCCTGAGGTTAGAAAATTTAGAAATGCTTCTCTTACATGGCAGTCCATTTCTGATGTTTAGGATTCCTTTAAAGATAGCATTGACAAAAAGGTTAATAATGGCCAATTAATGAAGTTCTGGTGGGATTGCTAGAGTCCTCTAGACAAGCCACTCATTGAGTATGTTATACAGCCTGGTTTAATAAATCCTCAAGATAGCGTTCGAGATCATGTTCTACCTAGTAGTCAATGGAATGTATAAAGATGGAGGGCAACTTTACCACATTAGGTGATCTCCCTCCTATTAAAGACCCAACCACCTGTCTCAAATGAAGATGATGTCATACGCTGGCGCTACTCAGTGAATGGACAGTTTACAGTTAAGAGTGCCTATGACTCCCTCTTTAGACATGGAGATGGGAGGGAGCCCTTGATATGGTGTAGACCATAGGAGTGGCAAGTCCTAGAGAAAGTCAAGTTCTTCATGTGGCAAGTTTCCCATGAGAGACTGATGACAAATTTGCTCAGAGCTAAAAGAAGGTTGACAAACACCAACTCTTGTCCCTTTGAGTGTAATTGTAAGGAATCCATTTTACATATTTTGAGAGATTGTTAGAGAGCCAAGGAGGTATGGGGAAAAATTTTGAATACTGATGCTTTGTCTAGTTTCTTTGATGGTAATTTACAGGTATGACTACAGTGGAACTCCACTCACCTCCCAGCTAAGGATGAGTTTAAAACGTGGACTTGGACGAGAGTGTTTGCAATTGTTTGCTGGATTCTTTGGACGTCATGCTGCAAATTTATGTTTGAAGAATCCACCTTCAACACGATGGATATCATCCATAGGTGTAAATTTCTTCTCATGGAGTTGGTTGCTAACAATGAACTCAAGCATCAAATCCTTCAATGTACCCATCCTTCAGAGCAATCCTGGATAGCACCTGAACCAGATTGTATTCGTGTTGATGTTGATGGTTCAGTCCAACATAACTACCGTGCAGCTTGTGAAGGAGTTTTAAGAAACCATAGGGGAGACTAGATAATGGGTTTTCAACAAGACTTGAATTTATGCTCCCCAATTGAAGCTAAATTGAGGGCAATTAAAGTGGGTTTGCTGATTTCCAAGCAACTTAATTTGCCAAAGGTCATGATCTTTTCTGATTCTCTGCATGCTATCAATTTACTTAGTCGAGATACTTCGTCAGAACATCCATTGAAGCCACTATTATTAGAGATTCGTGATACGCTTTATGAAGGCTGGGATGTTTCTTTACGTTATGCTAGCAAGGAACATAATGTGTGCAGATTTTATGGCCAAGGGAGCTTATCAAGATAGCTCCGATTTGTTTTTGATCCCGAATGTCCCTACTGGTTGTTTGGAAAGGTTTCTTGAAGATTAGAGGATTACTTAGTAGTAGAATGTCTTACTGATGTTGCAACGATCTCTAGTCTATAATTTCTAGTTTTTTTCATCAAGCCTTGGCTTGCCTATGTAATTCAAAAAAAAAAAATTACTTGACAATTAATCTTCTAAGAAAAGTGTTGTAGAGATTATGCATTAACCACACAGAATTGGAAAGAGAAGAGAACCAATAATTCTATTCTCGTAAAGACATGGTTAGTAAAAACTCAAAACTTCGATCGGGAAAAGGAAAAAAAAAGAAAAAAGAAAAAGAACTCAACTAGAGTCTAGATTTCAAGCCTTTCACACAAAAATTAAGATATGAAAATTCCTTGGCCTGCGAGAGAATAATTTTTTACCTTTTGACAGTGAAAAAATTGCATTCAAGTACATAAAAAGATTAGGGAATCCATGAATGACAGACATGATAACTCATTATCACTTATATAGATAGAACAGAAACAATTCTAATGAAAATTTATCAAATCAGTGAAGTATCATGCATCAACTGTTCCCACATCCATAAAAATCTTACAAAGTGAACATTTAAAATGCCCAGATTTATTAATAATGAAAGCCAGCAAACAATAAGAGAAAAAAGAAAGATGAAACAGCACACTACCTTTTCTCTTTCTCTTTCCACCCTCTTCTCCTCCTCTTCTTTCTTCTTGCGAGCCCTCTCCCTTAAGATAATCACAAAAGTAAATGTTTAGAAAGATGAAAGACTAAAGATAAACCAAGAAAAACACCCTGGCTTTAAAATTACTAGATGAAAATCACAGTTCCTTGAAGAATGATACAGGCCAGATTTCCAAGCTATTGCATGTATATGCATCAACAATGATATTTTATTCTGCTCCCAAGATGGATAAATGCATATATGCAAGCATTTATTAGTACATAAAGAACTTGGCAGATTATAATCAATAAATTTTACAGCTCATCCAGCTCAAGCTTTCATACAAATAGATTAGCGACAATAAATAGATATTCCATAGAAAGGTTACTAGCTAGCAACAACAGGCCTCGATAATAAAACATAATAAAAACCTAAAGAACATGTTTGGGAATTGAGAGAAGAAAGGAAGGGAAGGAACCAAAAGAAAAGGGGAGAAAGAAGGGAAGGAAACTAATGGTTAATAGATGATCTCCACTTCAACTTTTTGAATTTTTAAAACAAATAACATACCAAAAAACGTTTAAAAAAACTGGTTATGAAGTATTTTTACACTTTATCTACCATTAAAATAAGTAATTACAATAATTTGGTTTCTCATACGTAACTTTAAAAAATAATAAATAAAATTTCTTAATGGTTGGTTCTACTCTAATGTTATCCAAATTTGAGGAGCATAATCATACATGAGGCAGGAATTTGAAGTATCTTGTAAGGTTAGTTGAAAATCCTCCAGTACCCTCTTGCCCCGATAACCAGCTCATGAAAAGGGGAAGTTACAATGAAACTTTCCTCTCCCTTCCCTTTCCCAAAAACAAAACATATTTATGCTATTTAACAGCTAACTCGACATGGCCCTCCAAACAAGTTAAAGGTCATCTTTTTTTTCTAACGGCCAGGGCTCCATGAAAAGTACTAATCATTTCCTCAAAAAAAAAAGGAGATTTCATAGATCTAAGGCATTATAATCTGATGGAACCCTCTATTCTAATAAGCTTTAAACAAGCATAAACCAGAAACTACACCACAAATGGGACTGAAAATTACTAATACCGAATAGCAAAGTTGGATTACAGCGAAATAAGGAACTGAAAATTACAACGTACTGAAACAGAAACAGCACAGAATATACTCCACCAAACAACAATCATAAAATATAAGTCACTCACTTACATACACACACTAGCAGAAGATAAAATGATGAAGAAAGATGACTTCCTCCACCCCCAACCTGACATTCGAGAGGCCAGAGCTCTCCTTACCACTCTCAATATTCAAAAATAATCTCCCCCTCTCTCTAGGCAAAGAGGAAGATTTAAAGACCTAAAAAATGACTCTAGCACAGCCCTTACCCCTAGAAGACCCTTAACCATCACTAGGACTCTAGCACATCACTAGGCCATCAATTACTTTCTTTTTTCCCCTCATAACCAGGATCCAAAGGGCAAACATCTGAACCAACAATAATGTTATCTTTTAACCTCTTGCCTTCCTTGATTTTCTCTTATAGGTCTTAGTAAAATCATGAGCTCTATCATTACCCTCCCCTTGAAGTTTCACCTTGTCCTCAAGGTGAGAAGCATAAACAGCAGTTGGTATGAACATCTGTTGGTATGAAAACAAGTTTGCCCACACCAGAAAATCTTCCAACTGAACTGCTTCAATAATCTTGACATCCTTCTTCAATCCCTTGTAATAATCTTCAACTTTCATGCCAGAGAACCGAGCATCATAACGCATATTGGATGAAAAAACAGATTTAAACTGTTTTCCAGCAACAACAGAACCAGGAGACAGAATACTTGGGTTAGTAGACATTTCACCTCTATTTTCTTCATTTACTTCTCTTGCTCCTGAGAAAAGTCTGAGCTTCTTGTCATGCTTAGTATAAGCCGTTCTGATTTTCTTAGCAGAACAAAAACCAAAACTTTTTTCCCCTATTTCAGTGAAGTCTAGTACTGTGGTCTCTTGGGAATTTTCATCTCCTCTCATTGAGAATGAAGAAGTGTTGCTGGGGAACTCAGCCCCATCTCTTGTGGGTTTTATATTGTAGACAAGAAAATTACTGATCAACAACTCCCCCTTGATCTTGAGTTTGGTTTGTTTTGCTTCCCCAAATCCATCCTCCACACCTGCAGCCTGAACCTGCACATTTATCAACATGCCCAAAATCTTCAGTTCCAGTTTCACATTTTTCTCGGTACTGGTCTGAAGCTGCATTTTGCTCTGTATCTCCACTGAATTGTTGCTGTGTGCAGAAATGTATCTGTGAGTGTTGACCGTTGATCTAAAAAATTTAAACACAGCATCCAATGAGCTAAGACAAAATTTTCCAAACAACAAAGTGACATCCCCAAACATTTTGATGTCACACGTGATCAATTCTGGGATGATAACTGAAGCCCTCAGATGATATTGAGGAGATAAAAGTACAACCCCACATACATCGTCGTCCAATGGGTGACTGGGTTTCTGCTTTAAGAGAAGAGATGCAAGCAAAAATTCGACTGATTTTTCAAATGATATACTCAAAGAACCAATAGCTATAGACTCCGAGTTGCAACACATGAACCTCTTAATGGAGAAGAATGTTAAGGTGACAAGAATTCCAAAAGTTGTTTTCAAACCATCCCAGTAATAGGTAATAAAAATTCTGGCAATAATTGCTGACAAGAATATTATGAAGAATGGTGTAGCTTGGAACCCACTGGACAACTGAAGTAGGATGACAGCCTCAAATTGTATACTGTAGTCATACCTGACATTGGTATCATCCCTTATGCCCAACTTTGCGCCAGCCTTTTGGGTCAGACGAGCAGCATATTCATTCTTCTTGATAGTTATGTGAATTTGTGAAGCTGCCACATACAGTATGTTAACTTCTGTAATAGTTGGAGCCAGGAACAGTAGCCTTTGGTGCCAGCCAACACAAAGAGCATCTGGAATGGTGTCGCTTCCTACTGTTTTTGTATGTTTGTGGGAGAATTTTTGCTCTTCTTTGGCCTGTTGAGCGTTTAGAATGTGAGCCACAGCAAGCGTCTGGCGCAAAAATATAATATAAAGTGAAAACCCCTTCTCTGATGCAGAACGCAGCGTTGCAACCCTAGCTTCTCGAAGGATTAGGTTTCTCTTCTCCCCTTTAAGGCCCAAGTCCATTAGTTGCTTCTTAAATGAGGAATTGAATGTTGTATGCGGCTGGTTCATTCTCCTTTCATAAATTAAAAAGCTTTTAGGCCCAAAAGAATTACCATCATTTAGTATTGGGCTTCTACAATAAGTAATTAACCTAACCCTATCCAGCCTCCACTTTCCCTTCTTTTTGCCGTCAGCCTCTTCTGCCTTCAACCTGTCTCTTCGTTGCTCATATTCTCTCCAGCGTTTTGCAGTCTTCTCAATATTATAATTTTGCTTCTTCTCCTTAGTCGCTTCTGCCCCATTAACATTTATATGCTGGACTTTGATTTTGGGACTGCTTGGTGCTAATTTGACAGCTTGCAAGGATTGAGAAGGTTTGGGTTTCATCTCTTTTGGGTTGATACCAGAATCTGCTTCAAACTTTCCTTCTCTTAAAAACGGTGACACTTTTAACTGTTGTTCAAAAGGCTCTTTCTCTCTCCCTTCTTCAACCTCCGGTATCTTTTTTATAACTCCCTCTGTTTCTTGCTCAACTGGTTTCTTCTCTTCTTTCTCACTTACAACATCTTCATTTCCCATGTTCACCTCTGATTTCTTCTCCATTTCAGCACGCATCTCCATTCTGTCTAAAATCTTTGTGCACTTCTCTAATTTCTTCTGCATTTCCTCTGTTTTTTTTCCCCACATTCTTCAACAATTCTGACATCATAACTGCTGTAACTACGAGTTCTTCTAGTAAGTTTGCCATGCCTTTTTTCCACCCTCTTTCTCTCCCTCGGATCAACCGCTCTGATACCAAATGATGGAACCCTCTATTCTAATAAGCTTTAAACAAGCATAAACCAGAAACTACACCACAAATGGGACTGAAAATTACTAATACCGAATAGCAAAGTTGGATTACAGCGAAATAAGGAACTGAAAATTACAACGTACTGAAACAGAAACAGCACAGAATATACTCCACCAAACAACAATCATAAAATATAAGTCACTCACTTACATACACACACTAGCAGAAGATAAAATGATGAAGAAAGATGACTTCCTCCACCCCCAACCTGACATTCGAGAGGCCAGAGCTCTCCTTACCACTCTCAACAACAAAACAACAACAACAACAAGCCTTTATCCCACTAGGTGGGGTCGGCTACATGGATTGCAAGACGCCATTGTGCTCTATCATTTATTAAGCTTTTAGAAATATTATTAATTAAGAGATCACGTTCAACAACTTCCAAGAGTGTTCTCTTAGGCCTTCCTCTACCTCTCTTAATCGGACTCAAAGTTATATGTTCCACTCTTCTCACTGGTGCCTCCCTTGGTCTTCTTTGTACATGCCCAAACCATCTCCTTACCACTCTCAATACAACAACAACAACAACAAGCCTTTATCCCACTAGGTGGGGTCGGCTACATGGATTGCAAGACGCCATTGTGTTCTATCATTTATTAAGCTTTTAGAAATATTATTAATTAAGAGATCACGTTCAACAACTTCCAAGAGTGTTCTCTTAGGCCTTCCTCTACCTCTCTTAATCGGACTCAAAGTTATATGTTCCACTCTTCTCACTGGTGCCTCCCTTGGTCTTCTTTGTACATGCCCAAACCATCTCAACCGATTTTCTACCATTTTTTCCTCAATAGGTGCCACCCTCACTTTTTCACGTATGTGCTCATTTTGAATTTTATCTTTACGTGTATGTCCGCACATCCATCGTAACATTCTCATCTCTGCTACTCCAACTTTATGCTCTTGCTGTCCCGTTAGAACCCAGCATTCACTACTATATAACATTGCCGGTCTGATAGCAGTACGATAAAACTTTCCTTTAAGTTTATTAGGCACCTTACGGTCACAAATAACTCCTTTAGCTTTTCTCCAATTAAACCACCCAGCTTGAATTCTATGTGAAATATCTCCACTGATTTCGCCATCATTTTGAATAATGGCTCCCAAATATCTAAACTTTTCCACTTGAGGTATGATTTGATCTCCCAATTTCACTTCCAAATTATTTTCGAATAGTCCTTTACCAAATTTACAATATAAATATTCCGTCTTACTTCTACTCAGACGAAAACCTTTCGACTCCAATGTCCTCCTCCATAACTCAAGTTTGCAATTAACCTCTTCTCTTGTCTCTGCTATAAGAACTATATCATCCGCGAAGAGCATACATTTCGGGATTTCCTCTTGAATATGTTCCGTCAAAACATTTAAAATCAAGTTGAACAAATAAGGACTCAGAGATGATCCCTGATGTAGTCCAATCTTTATAGGAAAATCCTTTGTTTGACCACTAGGCGTTCTTATACTAGTTTTTACCCCCTCATACATATCTTGTATGGCTTTAATATAAGCAATCCGTACTCCCTTTTTTTCCAACGTTTTCCAAAGCACTTCTCTTGGTATACGGTCATAAGCTTTTTCCAAATCAATAAAAACCATGTGTAGATCTTTATCTTTACAACGATACTTTTCCATTAATCCCCTTAGTAGATAAATTGCCTCTGTAGTTGATCTACCTGGCATAAAACCAAATTGATTCTCAGAAATACTTGTCTCCAATCTCAACCTGTGCTCAATTACTTTCTCCCACAATTTCATTGTGTGGCTCATGAGTTTAATCCCTCTATAGTTAGTACAATTCTGAATATCTCCTTTATTTTTATAAATAGGAATTAATGTACTTCTCCTCCACTCATCAGGCATTTTCTTGGACCGTAAAATCACATTAAATAACTTAGTTAACCATCTCACCCCTTCTTCACCTAAACATTTCCACGCTTCGATAGATATACAATCAGGTCCGTTAGCTCTACCATTTGCCATTTTCTTAAGAGCTTCTTTTACCTCCTTATCACGTATTTTTCGATAGAATGACAAATTTTGTTCTCCTTCACCAGTTACTAAATCCTCCAAGTTACTAGATGAATCCTCTCCATCATTGAAAAGTTTAGAAAAATAAGTCTCCCATCTATTTTTAATTTCATCATCTATAACTAAAATTCTTCCCTCTTCATCCTTAATACACCTTACCTGTTCTAGATCTCTTGATTTTCTTTCCCTACTCTTGGCAATCTTATAAATATTTTGCTCTCCTTCCTTCGTCTCAAGGTTCTTATAAAATTCTTCAAAAGCTTTGGAACGAGCTTCACCCACAGCTCTCTTAGTTTCCTTCTTAGCCATACGGTACCTCTCCCAATTTTCCTCATTGTTACACAAATGTATGGCTTTAAAACAGTTCTTCTTATACTTGATTTTGTCCTGTACACTATTATTCCACCACCAAGACTCCTTATCTCTCGGACCAGAACCTTTCGATTCTCCCAAAACTACTTTTGCAACCTCCCGTATCTTTTTAGCCATATCCTCCCATATGATGTTAGCACTTCCCTGAGAATCCCAAATTCCTTTATCCAAAAGATTTCGCTTGAAAATATCTTGCTTCTCACCTTTTAATTGCCACCACCTAATCTTTGGTGTTACTACTTGTCGATGTTTTTGGATTTTACTCATAATACACACATCAAGGACTAGGACCCTATGTTGTGTCGTTACAGCATCTCCAGGGATCACCTTACAATTTTTACAAAGTTTTCTATCTGTGTTCCTAACCAAAAGAAAATCAATCTGCGACCTTGAGGCTCCACTTTTGTAAGTGATGAGATGCTCATCTCTCTTCTTGAAACAAGTGTTGGCAATCTTAAAATCATACGCCAATGAGAAATCAAGAAGAGTTTGCCCTTCATTGTTTAGCTCTCCAAAACCAAAACCACCATGCACCCTCGCATACTGACCAGCTTCCCTCCCGACATGCCCATTAAAGTCTCCTCCAATAAAAATCTTTTCACTCTGTGGTATGTGTCGAATCAACCCCTCCAGATCCTCCCAAAATAATTCCTTAAGACTGGCTTCTGTCCCGACTTGCGGCGCATAAGCGCTAACAATATTAACAGTCTCACGTCCAATTATCATTTTTAAAGAAATAATTCTGTCTCCAATTCTGCTAACTTCTACAACGTTCTTCTTCCACTCCTTATCTATAATGATGCCTACTCCATTGCGTGCACTTACTTTTCCTGTATACCAAAGTTTGAAACCTTGAATATCCTTAGCTCCTTCTCCACGCCATTTTGTTTCTTGCACGCAAAGGATATTGATTTTCCTTTGAATCATAACCCCTACAACCTCTACAGATTTACAATTTAATGTCCCAACATTCCAAGTACCAAATCTAATTTTGCTCTTATGGACTAACTTCTTTAGCCGCGTGCGTCCAGAATGACGCGGTAGCCCTTGCTCATTTAACACTACATCCGGGCGCCGATGCAGCGGCTCTAACTCACTTATCACTGTACTCGAGCCATGCAGCGCGTTACTTACGGGCAACGACCTAGCATTAACATTATAACGTCTATTGTCCATGTTCATGATAGATTCAACAAATTTTTACATTGGCTGTTGATGGCCTAACACAACCCTCCTCATCCTTACCACTCTCAATATTCAAAAATAATCTCCCCCTCTCTCTAGGCAAAGAGGAAGATTTAAAGACCTAAAAAATGACTCTAGCACAGCCCTTACCCCTAGAAGACCCTTAACCATCACTAGGACTCTAGCACATCACTAGGCCATCAATTACTTTCTTTTTTCCCCTCATAACCAGGATCCGAAGGGCAAACATCTGAACCAACAATAATGTTATCTTTTAACCTCTTGCCTTCCTTGATTTTCTCTTATAGGTCTTAGTAAAATCATGAGCTCTATCATAATCCCAAGACTAACTAACATTTCCCAATCTACCCAGCAAATAAAGTGCAATGGTGATATGTAAATAGGACAATCATGGGATAATTAGAATTAATAGGCTACTGTTAGTTACCGTTAGTCAATTAGTTCTATTAAGTCCAATGTGAGCCTATATAAGGGATATCTGCATACTTGACTCTCATATGTGAAGTAATAGTCAGAGTACCATTCAGAACCCTCTTCCTCTCCTTTCCTCTCAATTTCTCTCGTCTCTCCTTTATTCTTCTCTATTCTCCTCTGCCCTACACAACAGTGGTATCAAAGTCGGCGGTGCTCGGCTTGTATGCCAAAAACCAGACTACAAAGACAGCAACATACCATGGCAAACAACAATGACAATTGACTTCATGCCTTGGAAGATGCCTTCTCCAAGTTGGCTAAGCCCCCTAGTGATGTGCAAGCCCTCACCAATTAGGTTGCCCAAATTGTACATGATCGTAATGACACTTCCCACAAGGGTCGTACAAGCAACAATCATCACAGAGGACATCTATGACTGGAAACCTATGAGTATCAAGCTCGTACATGTTTTACAAAGATAGAGTTTCCTAGATTTCAAAGAAGTGATATCTTGGGATAAATCTTGAAGTGCGAATTTTATTTCCAAACTAATAACACACTGGAGGATTGGAAGGTTCGCATGGCCAGTTTGCATCTTGATGAAAAGGCTTGGTAGTGGCATCAAGCCCTTAGTTCTTCAGACGAAGGCGGTAGGTGGACGTGGGAAGAATACGTAGAAGAACTAAAGTATAGATTCGAACCCACCTATGAAACTCTGATGGGAGATCGCTTCATCAAACAGGTTCACTAGAAGAATTTGATGGTGAGTTCAATGCCATTGCTTGCAAGATCAGATTTTTTAGAAGATTATCTTGTGCAGACTTACACAGTAGGCCTTGATGAAGATTTAGCAGCACAAGTTCGAATGTTTAAGCCAAGGTCATTATCCAAGGCAAGAACTATTGCAAGGACTCACCAAGTGAATTATCAGAAGGCTTAGTTGAATACGCGTGGCGCTGATTCTAGACAGCGATCTCTCCAGTGGGCTCGGAACGCAGACACATAGACTCATAGGAGTGTATTTGATACTTATCCAAGTGAATAGAGAGGGTCGACTGGGTGGTAAAGTGCGAAACATCCATTTGGCAACACTGGGTCTTATTTTAATAAGGGTAAAATGGTCCAATCCTCAAATTCTCTTTCTTTCGCAACCAAGACATTCTTTTGCCTCTGTTTCTCCTCATGAAGGTACTGGGTCTTCAAGAAATGACTCTAGCAATTCACGAATGCTAACTCCAGATGAAGTAAAGGAATTAAGAGCTAAGCATTTGTGTTTCTATTGCGACAACCCTTTTCCAAGGACCATATATGTCCTCAAACACAAAAGATGAAATTGCAACTCATTGAATTGGAAGATGAGGGACTCAAAGAAGCTAAAGAAGACACGGGTCAAGAGTTTGAAGTTCTAGAAAAATCAGAATATATACCAGAAAATTCAGAATATTTGCAAATTTCACTTCATGCAATTTAGGGGAGCGTGGAACCCTCAACCATGAGAATTCAAGGTTATGTTGGAAGGCGATAGACACAAATACTCATTGATAGTGGGGCTTCTCATGCCTACATTGATTATGTTTTGGCCAAGAAGTTAGGTTGGAAGGCCAAGTCTCACCCTATGGCAGAAGTCAAAGTGGCAGAGGGTGGAAAACTAAAGGTCTGTGGTGTTTTGAAGGCAGTAAAGTGGAGAATGCAAGGTGAGGAATTTGAGGGAGATTTCCAGATAATGGAAGTTAACACATATGACATGGTTTTAGGGTTATCTTGGCTCAAAACTATCTATCAGGCACATTGGGATTATGATAAATTGTCCACGACTTTTTGGTATAATGGGAAAATGTATAAATTGCAGCCTCAATAATCAACAAGTTGTAAAATTCTTGATTTTAAGAAGATTGAAAATGATTTAGAAGCTAGAGGGCAGGTGTTTATGCTGCAATTATTGGAAAATTGTGAGGAAGGGCTGCATTACTTTCGATTACAGGGGGAGGATGGTTTTGCAAAAGCTGGTCAAGGGCTGTTGACTGAGCTTTCAGATGTATTTAAGAAGCCTAAATCTCTTCCTCCCTTGAGAGAGGGCCACAACCATCCTATTATTTTACAAGAAGGTTCTAATCCAGTCAATTTAAGGACTTACTAGTACCCAGTAGCTCAAAAGAATGCTATTGAAAACATGGTGAAGGAGCTGCTGCAATCACAAGTCATTCAAAAAAGTAGTTCGCCATTTGCTTCACCAATTGAGTTGGTGAAAATGGAAGACGGGTCATGGCACATGTACATCAATTATAGAGAACTTAACAAGAGGACAATTAATAATAAATAACCTATTCCTCTTGAAGAAGAGCTTTTGGGTGAACTAAAGGATGCTAACTGGCTTACTAAGCTCGATCTATGGGCTGGTTACCATCAGATCCGAATGGAGGCTGCAGACATCTATAAAACAGCTTTTGATACTCATTCAGGCCATTACGAGTGGTTAGTGATGCCTTTCGGGCTCACTAATGCGCCATCAACTTTTCAGGGTGCCATAAATAGCATATTCAAAGAGTATTTAAGGAAATTTGTTTTAGTTTTCTTTGATGACATTTTGATTTATAGTCCCTGTTTAAAATCTCACACCCGACACTTGCGTTTGGTTCTAGAAATTCTGAGAAAAAATTGTTTTTTTGTGAAGGAAAGCAAGTATACCTTTGCTGCAACACAAGTGGAGTACTTGGGACATATTATCAGTGGAGTAGTAGTCTCAACTGAGCTAAAGAAAATTAAGGCAGTCACAGAATGGCCGGAGCCAACTACTATATGGTTCATTAACTAGACCCCTAACTGAACTACTAAAAAAGAACAATTTCCATTGCTGCTGTTACATTCAAAAAGTTGAAAGAAACGTTAGTGGCAGCCCCTGTCCTTGCTCTTCCAGATTTCTCTCAAGTGTTCGTGGTTGAAACTGATGCTTGTAATTCTGGCATTGGTGCTGTCCTAATGGAACAAGGTCAACCTATTGCCTTTTTCAGCAAGGCTTTAGTTCCTGGACACCTGAATCTCTCTCTCTACGAGAAGGAGTTACTGGGGGGATGCAAGCTGTGGAGCATTGGCATCAGTATCTTGAAGGAAGACTTTATTATTAAAACTGATAAGCAAAGTCTCAAATATTTGCTAGATCAGAAGTTGAGAACAGCATTTCAAATGTATTGGGTGACCAAGATTATGGGGTATGATTATGAAATACATTACAAAAAGGGCAATGACAATAATGTAGCTAATGCTCTTTCAAGGATGCCTAAAAGTGAGGTATTTCAAGTGTCTCTTCATACCTGTTCAGATTTCCTTTTTCTGGAAATTCATAAGAGTTGGGATGATGATGTGGATTTAAGAGCTTTAAAGGCTCATTTGCAACAGCATGGAGGTGCAGAAGGTAAATATCCTTGGGATGGTAAGTATTTGAGGAAGAATGGCAGATTAGTGGTAGGAAATATTTCTAATGTAAGGCTGAACTCGTGGCTATCGATCCCAGCGTTTGCAAGCTATTACGATCTGGCTCTAATACCACTGTCAGGATAGAAAGAGATGAAGAGAGAAGAAGAAAGATAGGTAGACGGGAGGGAGAGAACAGAGGAAAGTTTCTTAGGAGACTTTCTGAATAGTGCATTTCATTACTGAAGATCAACAACCATCACGTGTCTGGATGTAGGGTATTTATAGGGCCAGACCATTAAAACTAAATAATAGAGTAACAGTACCGAAATAACATTTATACCCCTGTCCCAACTAATTCTTATATTCCCTAATATTTACATATCAAATGGTTTCATGCTAGCCCACAAGGTGGAAATTCAGGGGTGCAAGCTACCTATCAAATAGTTAAAAAGTTGTTTTGGTGGCAGAAATTATTTGAAGATGTCAAAGAATTTGTGAAGCATTGTGATACATGTGTAAGATGTAAATCTGAATCAGTGGCTTATACAACTCTGCTACAGCCTCTACCCATTCCAAGTAAAGTTTCAGAGAGTGTGACTATGGATTATATAGAAAGATTGCCCAAGTCAAATGGGAAAGACAATATTTGGGTGATTATTGATCGTTTTAGTAAATATGCACACTTTTTGCCTTTGTCTCATCCTTTTACAGCATCTACCTTGGCACAACATTTTCTGGATCATGTACAAGTTGCATGGAGCCCCAGTCAAGATTATTAGTGATAAAGACCCCCTCTTTATCAGTAATTTTTGGAGGGAATTTTTAAAGGTTTTGGGGGTTAAACAGAAGCTTACTTCTTCTTATCACCCACAAACGGATGGGTAATCAGAAGTATTCAACCACTGTTTGGAAAATTATTTGAGGTATATGTGCTGGGAAAAACCTAAGGAGTAGCACAGGTGGCTTTATTTGACAGAGTGGTGGTATAACACATCCTATCACACTTCTAGAAAAACTACTCCTTATGAATTGCTGTATGGACAGGCTCCTCCTAGGCATATTCCCTATTTACCTAGAGATGTGGCTGTAGAAGCTGTTGACAGAACTTTTTCAGTAAGAGAAGAGGCTTTAGCAATGACAAAAAACCACCTCAATAAGGCTGAGAACAGAATGAAGCAAAAAGCTAATTTGCACAGAAGTGATAGAGAGTTTGAGGTGGGATAGTGGGCGTTTCTCAAATTGCAACCTTATCGTCAAATTTCTGCAGCTTCAAGGAGCTTTCAGAAATCAGCTCCAACATATTCTGGGCCTTATAGAATCTGAAAGAGGATAGTTCCAGTGGCATATAAGTTGGAATTACCTCCAAAGTCAAGGATTCACTCCACCTTTCATGTCTCTTGGCTTAAATTATGTCCCGATCCTTCAGTAAAGCAGCAGCATCCCCCCTTGATTGACCAGAATCTCCTTCAGATCCGATTCTGGAAAAATTATCGAATGAGTGAAGGGGTAGGAGAAAAGGCAGGATCATTACAGAAGTAGTTGTGCAGTGGAAGGGCCTTCCGGATGAAGAAGCAAGCTGGATTTCTTTGTTACAGTTGCAAAAACAACACCCTACTTTTGTTATTTCTAACCCTTGAGGTCAATGGTTCTTGAGGGGAGGTATTGATATGCAAATAAGACAATCATGGGAAAACCAGAATTAATAGGCTACTGTTAGTTACCGTTAGTCAGTCAGTTCTATTAAGTCCTATGTGAGCCTATATAAGGGATATCTGTATACTTGACTCTTGCATGTGAAGTAATAGTCAGAGTACCATTCAGAACTCTCTTCCTCTCAATTTTTCTCGTCTCTCCTTTATTGTCCTCTGTCCTACACAACAAATGGCACCTAGGTCATAGTGTTGTAACTAATAAAGGGCAACCAACCAAAGTTTTTTATTCATTTCCTGAGGTAATAGCAAGCGAATTGACAAGATATTTAATTTCATACCTAAGTTCCTGTTGTTTAGCTTTCAGTTGTTCTGGTGTGAGAGAAGGTTTAGGAGCCTCAACTTTGGTGTTTGCAGGTACCTGTGCAAACCCACAGATCAGAAGCAACGAATGCAACTTAAATGCACAAAATAGACATAGAAAAGAATTTGTATATAAACACAAACATGAGCTAGTCTTAAACTTAATACTGTACATATTAACGTTTAGGGAAAACGTGCCCACAAGCATAACAGGTGACGTAAATTTTTTTAAAAATAAATCGTACCAAGGGCATCTGATCTATGTCAGCGTCATTCTCATGCTCTACTACCCAATTCACAGCTGCCTCAAGGCTAGCATTACCTGCCGAAGAGAAGGGTCAACCTCTAATATCTAGAGATTTAATAATATCAACATCCAGACCATAGAAGGACTCTAAAAATCCACTGAATATTACACATACGCTAAATCCTCTGTGACTGCATGGAATATAAATAGGATAGCTATGATTTACATCTAATCTTATTTCTAAGGCTGAATTGTTAGGTAATGAATGAAATTATTCTCTACTTTCAATAACATTCATCACAAGTCCCTATCATCCTGGATCTATGAGTGACTTTTAGACTGGCTAGTATAAATTTTATAAATGTCCTATGAAGTATGGTTCCTTCGAGAGAAAAATGAAGTGAAATATGGTTGATTTCAGGAAGATACGACAAGCTGCCTCCAAAATGTTGTCCATTCATGGATGGGCCCTATATTGATCATCAAAATACGTCTCATTCAGACCAATCAAAAGAAGAATTTTCCAACCAAAATAAAATAATGAAATCAAGTAGGTCAGATCAGAGCAAATATATACTATCTTCATCACCATAATGAATAACGTAAATCTATAGTTTAAAGAAAATGATTGAATGCCAGCTCACCAGAATAATGCAGTGAACGTATTGCACGTGCAGTTGAAAAACCCATTAATTCAAGTTCCTCAAGCAGCTTTTTGTCAACCTCAGGAACAACCATTTCTATAATTTACAATGAAAAGCATGCGAGAGGAAGAAAAAGAATAAACATCAATATCCGGTAAGAAAAAACTAATATCAGAATTTATTTCATTCCAATGGCATACAGAGGAAGATTAAAATGCTACAAACCACAGAGTGCATTTAGAATCAATCCTGATGAGAAAAGTCACACGAAAGAAGCAAAAGTAAATAATGCAAACCATCTTTGTTCAGATTTTGTAATTCCTTTTGTCAGATAATCTTCATTTAACTTGTTCCACCAACAAGTTATGAATAGATATTTTATGAAAATAACTTGTTCCCAACAGGACTCCAGTAGAAATAGAAAATCATATACATGACAGGATTCAGCAATTTACAGCCAAACTCAGTTCAGGGTTGAGAAACAAACCACTAGGCTGTGGAGCAGTACCATCATTTTGGTCAGTAGTTGCATTGACATCCTCGTTAGACATTGCATCTACCTTTGGAACCTCCAAACTTATTGGTTTCGCTACTTCAGATGTCTTATCAACAAATTCACCGTGCCCAGTTCTTTTTGTATGCAAATCACTCTCCTACATTACAAGAGGAATGGGGGGAGAGAATAAAACAAGTCATGCCCATTCCGATAGATGATAACATGCATTAGAAGCAGCGCTAACATACTCCTTCAAAGTCAGTTTTATGAAGATATCAAAGTCATTACGGCCAGGAATCAAGTTTTTTTCTCTTCAGACTGACTTAAAAAAATGAAACCAAAGAAAAAGGTAATCCATCTGCTCTCTGCAGGTTTGGCCAGTACATTGTATATTTTCTCTCATTGTTTGGGCCCTTTCAGTCACCAATCACCAGATAGATATTCAGATAATTTTGCAATGATTTAAAACTGCAGCAGCGAAAGTTAGACTTTTCAATTCCAAAACCCAAGTAACCAAGGTTTCCCTCGCTATTCTCATCAAAGATATAAAGAATTGCCATTACGTAATAATTTTCATGCGACAACATTTTGGCATCAGTGCTTAATGTGAAGCGGGATTTCGTATTTGCTGGGGGCGCTAAATAATTTTCGAAGTGCGAGACCAAGTTTTCCAAAATCCGAAATGCAAATTTAAGACACAATTGGAATTGCATGTCTTCCCATAACCAGAATCCGATCTCTAGCCACAAAAAAGAAAGGATCTTTTAAAATCAATACAGTTTTGGATCGGCATGGCTTGCCACAAGTGGTGCAAACAAGGTTGAGAACAGCTTCAGTCGATTCAGAGAAGTTGGAGTGGGAGGTGAGCTCTGCGTGCTCCTGAGCTTCTTGTACGGACCTCAATAGCGCTCCACAGTCGCCGCACTGGAGAGACACGCCAGCCATTGATGCGAAGCTCGAAAGCCACGGCAATTCTAGAGCCTCTTCGATTCAGGATTCCTATGCAGGTTAGTCACCTGGTTCAGAATCTTATTTTCAATTTCAATGACCACTTCTTCCAGTAATCTCAGGTCGAAAATAACCCCCCGGCAAACAGACAACAATTTATTGATAAACAAAAAAATAATAATAATTGTTAATTGCACTCTCCCAACTAAAGCGCATTACCTGCTGTTATTCCTAATCCATTTCGTGTAAATACGTATCATCTCATAAAAATAATAATTTTATAAATGATAAACAATAATCATTCTTTTTAAAAAAAAAAAGAAAATTTAACTTTTTTTGCCAGAAAATGAAAAAATTTAACTAGACCTGACATTATGGTTAAATAATTATGTTTTTTCACCTCTACATAACCCCATTTGATCAACAGATGGCAATTACTTCGATAAAATGAAGGGAATGTTTTTACAATAATTGTTGTTATTTTTCTAATTTTTTGCTAAATTTTTTTGTTTATAAATTCAAATATCTTGTTTCTTCTCATAATTAGCAGCGGGATGTCTCCACTTGCTTAACCCTAGGGCACCCAAATTGCCCTCTTCATGTCATTATTGTCAACTTGTCATCCTCCCCTCCTTCAAGTTCATTAATCATGTCATCTTTTCTACCTTCATGCAAGGGTGGTTCTCTTTATGGTGCCTTCAGGTTTTTCATGAGTTAGAGCCCGTGCTTTATCTCCAGCTTTGTTTTTCATGGTGCCTTCTTCATGAAGAATGACCTTCTTTGCGCTGAGAAATGCTTATGCACTGGTTATGCACTGATGTGATTGTATTTCTGAATATGCCAGATATTAACTCTTCCTAAATTTTGAACATGCCTGAGAAATACTGTTTCGAACTCTGGTCATGGACTTAAAGGCGATACTAAAGATCGATAGAATTGAATTAATTTTCTATATGTAGTCTCTAACTATGTGATCCCTTGTGCCTTCCATCTATTAACTTCCCCAGTAGCTCCTTAATGTTTCATCCAAATGGGCAAAATCCAACGCCAACATGAAAAAGTTCCAATAACCACGGCATTATTAAGTAGCCGCAAACCCATCCGTCCCGTAACTATAAAATAAATGCTTTCATCATGTAAATTATCAGGAAAATAAACTGACAACTGCTACATTATTTTTCATTGCAAGAGAATATGAACAAAAGCACAAAACCAAGCAACAATCAAGGTAGACAAATCCTCTGAAGCTAGTAGGAGATTTTATTTGACGAACAGGGAAGATGTCGATAATCAGTTGGGCTTGACGTATGTATTATCCTCTCTGAACTTTGCAATTTGGCTTCGTATCATAGCCTCGACATGGGGTTGAACAAAAATGTGGGTATTATCCAAGATATGGATAATGAACTTCTCAGACGCAGGCAGTGAAGCATTCATATTGATAATATACTGTGCCATAGGTATGTCACTGCACAAGAAATTATCACCAATCATTAAAGCAGACAAGAAGGAATCAAGAACAATGAGAAAATTCACTGTAGCACTGTACAAACATGTCAACCATGAACTTCTGAGGCAGTTGTAACCAAAAGAAAATAAAAAAGGGTTGGGGGGGGGGGAGCAGTGTTGTGTTGTCAAAGGAAGCTGATGCAGTGAGAGGGGATCTCATCTCCAGGATTTCAGCAAAATGGCCCAGTTTTCGCCATTTAAACTCACTTTCAGCCAATGGGCATGTAAATTTTAGATTATTCTCATCAATGTATCAGAACCTATTAAACAAAAGAGAAACACTCTGAACCATTCCATTATGGCTGGCATTGATGCCATATGTGAGGGCATTTAAAAAACTTATTGAAGCAAGAAGCAAAGAAGTATGGTTTCAGGAGCTTGTGATTGGACAGAAAGCATCAACCAAGGGTTTGACATGAGAAATGTGTTTTTTGGCCTCATTTTTTAAGCCAAGCACTCCATTGCTCTTTTTTCCGAACTCAACATTTTATTTATGGGAGAGTTTCAATGGCCTATGTAAATCAATTTAAGTTATATGCTTCATTTCCATTCAAGTCATATCACTGTATTGATTTTTACTCATACAGTGATGTGGCCAACCTGCCTTGGGGCACAGAAGTGATGTTGTTTGGGGCTTGCTGCCTCATGACAACGGTACTTCTAAGATCATACAATTAAAATAGATCAGCTACTTTCGCACCTGTAATAATCATCGCTTTAATGTGAAAGTCAATGAGTAGCGATGCCTTTTGTTTGCATCCTAAATTGCACATTATCAAAAAGTTCTGGTGAGAAGTTCTTAATCACACGAGAAGATACCAACTACTTCTCCACAAAAGATTAGATAAAGAAGACAGCCCTTTCGTGGTAGAGACTTAAGTTGGAGTAAAACCAAAGCTTGCAGTTTATTTAATGCTTTAAGAACCAAAACCAACTATCCTATAAAACACAACATGAAATTGGAATTCCAAAATGAACAATAGTGTGTGGTTAGGAAGGAAGAGTTACCAGGAAATAAAAACTCCTTTAGTGGCATTAACCATCGTAAACTACCTGTAAGCTGTAGCAAAGAGAGAGAGCAGTATTCGTCAAATAATAGTCCCCGTTCATCAAACATTCAATCCTCTGAACCAAACAAGAAATCAATAACACAAAATATTTAATTGTGGCTTAAGCATCATAAGGTTTAATGTTTATAAAACTAGAAATAATCCAACGGTTGATCACTATGAAACTACTGATCTGATTATAAACCATAGAACAAAGAACAAATTCCATACGAAATATAGAAATATACACCAAGTCACCACCGGTGCGTTACAACCAGGTCTGACTTACTGCTGTTTAGAACATAATCTACCAACAACAGCATTCTAAATTTGTTTCTTTTTACTGAGAGAAGAACCCCACCCCCAAAAAAAAACAAAAACAAAAACAAAAATAAAAAGGAGAGCTCTAGTTCATTCAGAAATTAATTAAAAATATGTCCTTAGCGAAGAAACTTATTGCCGATTAATCCTCAAGTTCACCTGAAAATATTTTATTGTAAAATACAGAAAAATATAAGGTTGGTTTATCTATCAACAAACGCTCCAAAGGAAGTGTTAAAACCCAAAAATGATATGAATTATGAAATAGCATATAGTTCGGGGCATGGTATATGACCAACCCAACTTTTTTCTTAATTTATTTTGTGAAAAAATTACTTATTTTTTAAAAATATATTTTATCAACTTTTATGATATTTCTTTAAATTTTTAAAAATAATTAAAATTTAAAATAATATAAATGAAAAATAAACCTTTAAAAATACGGGATACATATAATAATTTTTTAAAATAATTAAATAATAAATTATTTTTGTAAATTAGAAATAAAAAATATCAAAAATTTTAAAAATAACTGTATAATAATCGCTTTTTATTATTACAATTATTCATTAAATAATGACCACTCCTTCCATTTAAAAATGTAAAGCATTTTTTGAAGAATTAAATGTTAAAAAATGTAAAGTATTTTTAATCTTTTGATATGTAATTATTTTTTTTTAAAAAAAATACTTCTATTAATAATGACTTTATATTTATTATAAAATATTTAATAAAGATAAATAAAATAATATAAGACTAATTTAAAAATAAATAATTATTTTATTAAAATAAGTTTCAATTAAAAATAACTTACATTTTTTAATGAAGGAGTATTTTTTATAATATATTAATAAAATAATTTTTTATTATTTAAAAATCTCTTATTTTTCAATCTAAATCAAACGACCCATGAATACAGAACTGCGCAAGGATGCATTCCACCACCTGCGTCCATTGTGCCAGCGTACTCTTTTCTGGATGATACTAACAAACCACCCTTCCTTTCTTTCTATGTGGAAAACGAACAAACTAGTTCCTTGTGGCCACAATCATTCATCAATTCAAAAACCAGTTTCTCATTGGCACATAGGCACATGCCAGCTTGAAAACATAAGCAGACGAACAAAGGGCTAAGATGAAGCAGACAAAAGAATTGAAGAGAAGAAAAAATACGAATCAGAATGCGACGAGAAGAAAGCGATCTTACCGGCAGCGGAGAGGAAGAGATGGCGTGAAGTTCGCAAGAGGAGAAAGCTGGTTTGATTTGATCGGGTCTATTTGGCGGATGATCTGATCGGGTTTTAGTGTGGACAAATTTGTCAAGATAACTTTTAACTGGGACAAAAGGAGAAAAATGAAATGTTCTGGAAATTTTTTTGATGAAAAAGAAATTTCGATGTCTTACTTTCTTTGAACTTCTTGCTTTCAAATTGACAAATTTGCCCCAACCAAAACCCTACCAAAAATATTCGAGTCTTATTTCTTTTTTATTTGCTTTATTTTTTAAAAAAACCTATCAAGCTCAAGTTACTTTACTAGTTTCTTCTCTTCCAGAAGAGGGATTACTCTTTTGAGTCCGCCGCTCCGGCATCGCTGCCGCCGTCCCCCTCACCAATAAAAGCTTAATTTTTTTCTTGTTTTGAGTTTTAGCTTTCTCTGACTGCCGGCAGAAACCAACCTCTGAGTTTTGGCTTTGAATTGTTTGGTAATCAATAATAGCTAAATAATTTCTACTTTTGAATTTGTTCTTTGTTTTCTCCTTTCTCGCTTATTCGTTTTCAGATGCTTCTCAGTTTGGTAATAGAGTAATTTGAATATAGATTGAGCGATGGGTGTAGAGGGTGTGGAAGGTTACAGGCCTCCCCCAGAATTTGAAGAAGATACAAATGACCCACTTATCGATCTTGACTTGACGGACTCCAAGGAGTTTTGGCTCATGCAGTTGCCTTTCGGTAAAGTAAGATTCTTCATCCCTCTTCCGTATAACATCCTTTTGTTTATGTTATTTCCCAATAACTTGCTGGGGTAGGGAAAAAATCAAAGAAACAAAAGATTACAACTATCATCAACTAATCAATCATCATCAGCTAGAAATATAAAAGCAAGAAGCTGCATTATTAACAAGTCCCGAATAATATAGCTCCTCTCACAAAAATACCATTCTTTTTTCTTTTGGTGGAAAAATGAATTCTGTCCTTAAAAATTGCTGTACAAAGAAGGAATCCGGTTTACAAAAAACTAGCCAGTTCACCAAAAATTTACAAAATCAAAGGGCTAGCTAATTGTCTTGGGGCTGTGTGAAACTCCTTAGCCTTAACCGTGCGATTGGCCGGGTGATGGCTTCATTAACCAGCCTAATGGCGGCTCATTTTATCTAGGAACGAAAATACCATTCTTAATCTAACCAATAGCATCGTCTCATTTTCTTGGGTATCTCACATATGTTGCTTCAACTTTTTTTTTTTTTTGGATCTTCCTCATTTCATCTAATAACAGACAATAGATAGGATTGGCCACAAGAAACTTTATCACCCTTATCTATTTGAATGTGGAAAAAGTTGCATTTCATGAATATGATTGGCCACTGGCAACGTAATGGAACCTAAACCAAGTCGAAGATTTATTAGACTTTTGCTATTTATAATTTTTAACTCGCTCTATTTCTCTTTTGTTGTTGATTAGTGAAAGATTTTTATTTTCAATTTTGTTAGAGGGCATTTACATTCCTTCCCTTTTGTTTTTGTTTTTTTTTTTTTGATAAGCCACAAACAACATTCTTTCCGGATATTATTAAATAGAGAAGTGTTTCTTGGCTTTTTTTGTTTTGGGGGGGGGGGGGGGCGGGGAAGAGGGAACGGAAAATTTGAAGAAGGGAGCGAAAATAACAATGAGCACTCGTTAAATTGCCAGTTGACAGTTGACAGTCTCAGTCCTATCCGATCCAAGAGCTCCTTTATTGTTGTGTGCAAATATCGATAAAGTGTCATCCAAAGATGAGCGAATAGCTGAAGTTAGTTAAAAAAAAAAAAATGAAGTTGATAGAATAGGTGTATACCTACTGTTATACCTGCAAGCTAAGTCCTTAGTCCCTTTGTGCTTATTGGCTGTAAGAAGTTTTGCATGATTTGCATCCTCTTCATAGAGTCTCTGTATCATCAATCAAGTGAATGTAGCTTCTATCATCTGCCCTAACATCTCTTTTTAGCCAACCAATTTACTGCAGAACAGAATTTTTACGTTCTAATGCCATTTAATTCCATCAATACGTAATTGCACTGCAAATTAATGATTACATTTAGTTTCTTACTTTTTCCTTTATCTCATGTAAACCAGGATTTATTAACAGACATCGAAGGGCAGGAATTGTCACTCAAGCTTCATGGTGATGGCCAACTGTCAAGCTTTGAGGGTTCATCTGGTAAGTTTATTGCCGATACTGACTCTAATTAATACCCACTTTTCTTCCTCACGACTGCTTTATTTATCTCTAGAATAGCAAATTGCATAAATCCATATTTGCGACTGTGATTGATTGCTTGGTTAGTGATGTGTTCTTTTATATTTTGTTGTTTGGCAGGGAAAGTATATGATTTTATCAGCTTTGATACTCAAGAGGCTGATGAAATAGTTTTTGTTTCCTCTGCTGCGGAAGAGCCAAAAATTGGTATGAAACTGAGTGTTTTTATTTCATTTATTCTCTCTTTCGCCATTATTTTATATGTCTAAAGACTATAGATACTTCACAGGAAAAAAATATTGAGAATTGAGGGATAATATCTAAAGTGAGGTTAAGCTGATGTCAGCTAAGTGGTACCACTGTAGAATTCTTTGACAGGTGTGATATGAAACAATACTGTTCTAATCTCCAAGAGGCAACCAGTTAATTCTACTGTTGTGGTGCTGGTATTTACAATAACTAAAGTTGGCCTCTTGCATTTGCACGGGTCCCAAGATGAGCTGGATTATTTTTATTTGTGAATAGTATGGCTCTCGACGCTTTTGTCATATTTGGAAACATCCTACATCGATTAATACCATTTTATTGTCATTCTATTATGTGAAGAATATTTGGATAGATGCTCCCTAATTATGTTTTGGATCATCCCTATTTTGAGAAGCCTGTGGATTGACATTTTGTTTTTATTTTATTCTCTCTATGTTAGTAAGAAGTTTGTGGATGAGTTTAATATGTACGGAAGCTCTACTTTTAAAAAAAAAAAAATCAATTCAGGATCTGTGAAATTGAATAGAATCTGTTGATTGTTATTTTCTTCTGTTACCGGTAAAACACTGGATTCTGAATCTCGTGTTTATACTGATAGTTAATGTTTATGTTTTGTTTTATGTTCCACCCTTTCATTTGACAAGAACTTAAACACTATAAGAATAAATAATTACATTTGTCGGCAGCTGGAAAGATATCCCGGCGGGTTTCTGTTGTCCATTACCCTGATCCTGAAGAACTTGGAAAGGTCAATTTAAACAACCCTAGACGAAATTCTTCTGGAACCATGATGACAGCGTCTTCCCAATATTTTCCTATGCAAAGTTCACGGAGTGGACGTGCAGCCTCAACTCAAGGTAGCAGACCTAGAAGCTCTGTATCTGAAGTTGGTGAGCCATCAAATACTCCAAAAAGAAGACGTACAGCTGAATCTGAGGACCGTGCACCTGAGATCTCTCGTGGTCATAGCTCTGGTATTTCCTCAGCATCTTCTGATCAGCCCCCCGCAGGAAAGTCAAAGAGAAGATCTGAACATACGGAATAGGGATTTCTTTACTCCTCACAGCTGGCTCTATTTTAGTGTTATAGATTCCTGGTTTTGATTCTTGAACAATTAAAGTCACCTATTGCCCTATTCCATCCTGGCTTTCACAGCCATTTTTCTAATATTTCACGAAAACATGTAGTAGCTCTTTACATACTTCTGCAACTCGATGATGATTAATGGAAGTCATTCATTCGCTGTCTCTGGTTCTTTATTTTTGTTTCTCTCCATTTCAATTCTGCCGAAAGTTAATATGAACTTGGATTTCCCCCTACTTGATGATGATGCTTAATGCCTTCGGTATTGCTTGCCTCGCGCTATGTCAAGACCTTTTCTACTTCCCATTTTAGCATTCCCTGATCAGGCAGTTGATTGAAATGTTTGGCTAGAATAGAATGTACGTATCGAGGGGTCTTGTCTTCTATTTTGATGTATCGAGGGGTCTTTTCTTGTTTCGATATAACTCCACAACCATGATTTCATGTGGAGCTTTGTCGTACCGTTCGGCCCAGCTGCCCATAGGGAGGGGGTCTCTCTCTTCCCTCCACTACTCAAACCTTCACCATTCATTATCATTTTATTAAATAATGTTTTTAAATTATAGAATGAATGTAACGGTAAAGATTGGTGGAGGAAAAAAGAAATAAATAAATGGAGAGACTCTTCTCCCCTGCCGATTACTGCGTTTTGTTCTCCTTTTCCTCTGTTGTTCTGAATTTTGTTCGCTTTGGAAGTTCTTTTTTTTTTTTTTGAACAATACCGGAATACCAGGAAATAATCGGAAGGTACGAGAACCTAAAGAACAAAATACAAGCTTCACTCTTTCATCATCTCCCACTTTTATGACTTCAAAATGGATTGTGATCAAAGAGACAAAACAAGAATTCCATAGAATGAGCAAATCTAGCTAAGGAGTCAGCTTGAAAGTTCAACTCCCGATAGACATGATTAAAAGTAATTCCACCATCCCTAAGGAGAAAAGCTCTCGCTTCTTCAACCGTTTGGGAAGTTCTATCATCCACAATAATGTCATTCTTCTCTGGAAATAAAAATATTCTTTTATTGAACAAAAATGTCATGTTAATATTTAAAAAGGAAATATTATGTTACATCATACATCGGAGTTCAGATATACTAACTGCAGGACGACTGGACCAGGATGGCAGGGGTTTATCCAAAAAAAAAAAAAAAAACCTTTTGGTTTAATGAGTATTTCCCTTTTGGGGCATTCTAAGATATTTTTCTCAACTATGTGGTGTTTACCATAACCACATGTCACTGCTGTCAACAAGTCAACACGCATATTATTTGTCATTCTCTATTGGTCTAGAAATTGCATTTCTTTGTAAGTAAGAAGACAGCCACGATTTCCTTTGACTTGCTTGTATTTTTTCTTGAATTCATATTCTTTTAATTGTATGAACTGTTTGATGCATAATTCCGCTCGTCGCTACTCCCAGGTCATGGAAGGCCACTATCGAGTCTATCACGTCCAAAGAACCATCTTTCCCAGCTCACATAATAATTATATTCTTCACCCAACTGGCTGTGACTGTGAACCTTGCACCTTCCTCCTGCTTTCTCCTAGCTTTTCCATGCACCCACGTTCCTTAGCTTTGGCTCCCATAAACACAACGTCTCCGATGTTAGGCATATAACTGTAGCCTCAAGTTTTTAGACTGATCATCAAATTGATTAACCAAGACCCTCCAGATCGAAGTTATGACGATGAGTGCTATTGCTAAATCATTAGCTTCGTTGCTGCTTATTACATGCAGTTTGAGTTTGCTGTTCATATCTGTCTCTGCTGATTCTTTCTACCAGAACTTTTACGTGACATGGGGTGGTCAACGTCCTCGAGTTCTTCAAGATGGAGACCTTCTTACCCTTTCGCTCGACAGCGTCTCCGGCTCAGGCTTTCAGTCCATTAACGAGTACCTTTTTGCCGAAATCGATATGCAGATCAAGCTGGTGCCTGGAAATTCTGCTGGCACCGTCACTTCATTCTACGTAATCATTATTTTTTTAGCGTCATTTCTGACTAGTCTTAAATATCAATATTTAAACTGAGTTCTTTTTTTTTCCCCCTCGATTGTTCTCGATGAAGTTGTCATCCCAAGGGCAATTCCATGACGAGATAGACTTTGAATTCTTGGGGAACCTAAGTGGCGATCCATACACACTTCACACCAATGTCTTCTGCCAAGGAAAAGGAAACAGAGAGCAACAGTTCTACCTTTGGTTTGATCCCACTGCAGATTTTCACAACTACACCATCCTCTGGAATCCTCAACTCATCCTGTAAGTTACCTTTTCTGGTTAATTGCGGTTTGACAAGGTTTTTAGTGAGATACATACATAATTTGTGGAATTACATTGCATAGGTTTTTGGTGGATGGAATCCCAATTAGGGAGTTCAAGATCTTGGAGTCAAATGGGATCCCATACCCAAAAGGCCAAGCAATGAGGGTGTACTCTAGTCTGTGGAATGCTGATGATTGGGCAACAAGAGGGGGACTTGTGAAAACAGACTGGAGCCAAGCACCCTTCACGGCTTCCTACAAGGGATTCAGAGCCAGTGGGTGTGTTTGGCTCTCTGGGAATTCTAATTGCAGCGACGTCAACAGTACTTGGCTCTGGCAGCAACAGCTTGATTATGCAGGTCAGGGCCAAATGCAATGGGTTCGGAGTAATTACATGACTTACAATTATTGCACTGACTTTGAACGTTTCCCTCAAGGCTTCCCTCCAGAATGCTATCTCTCCCTTGACAACTAGATCTTTAAGAAAACAACCGTTATTCCATCTGAATTGCTTGTGTCCCTGCTTTGGTTCTTGTTCTTAAATTCTTTGTCACTTGCTTTCTCGTCCTGGTACGAATAATGTCCTGTATTTTTAATGATTCTATTTCGCAGTTTTTTCATTTCTCCTTTCGGGGCCTTTAATTATTCTTTCATCTTGAGTTGAACCAATCCTGTATGTTCAAACAAAAATTCAAACATCAAAAAAAAAAAAAAGAGAGACCATTGGGATGTTTTGGATAGGATACGGCGTTGTCCAATCAACATTCCACCTTTTATCTGACTCCAATTCTGCCATGTACAGTGTACTGCATGATACTTTTTGTATCTTGAATGCGGGAATGAAATGAAATTAATTTTTTAGCGAAAAAATATACCCCCTCCGCCAAAAAAAAATACGAGACATTTCTTATTTTTTAAATATAATTATTATTTTTTTAAAATATTTTTATTGAAGATAATTTTATATTTATCGTAGGTATTTAATAAGAATAAATATAAAAAGATAAAGTTAATTTAAAAATAAATAATTATTTCTCCGGTCCAGCATATAAGTTACTTCTTAAAAACATAATTTGATTCACTTTATAAGTCATTTGTTGATGGAATTGTTTTGTTTCAAATTGAAATTTTCAAATTACCCTTAAAAATAAGGGAGAGAAAGATAAAAAAATAATATTATATGATTAATTTTTTTTTACTTTTTACCTAAGAGTTCTGTTTGAAATTTCACTTACTTTTATTCCTTATATTTTTATTATATTGGTTTTAATGAAATTGGTAGAAATAATTTATAAATAGAACCGGAGAAAGTACTTTATTAAGGAATAAAATTTAATTAAAAATATTTTATATTTTTAAATAGAAACAATAATGATGAAGTTATTTAGGCAGGTAAATTTCACATAAAAAGTCACTCACAATAGTTTTCTTTCAGTTTACCATATAAAATAATAGCAACTACTTCAATTAAAATTTTAATATTTTAAAAAACTACATATTTTTAATTATATCCTCAATAAATGTTACATATAAGTGTTTTAATAATAATAACTAAATTTTTAATTAATTTTTTTAAATAATAATTAATTTAAAAATTATACATTTCTTAATTATATCTTTATTAAATGTTATACATAAGATTTGTAAGGGTAAAAGCAAAATTGGCCCTGAAATTATAAACTTAAAAGCATATAAGATTCTAAACTCATTTTTTGTATAATATTGCTCTTTAACTTTTTGAAATGATATAATTTGACTCCTATCATTAATAAACATTAAATTTTATCATTAGTTGATCAAAATATGATAGAAAATAATCTCAAAAATTACAGAAACAGACCTAAAAATTACACTAAATGACCAAAAGATATAAAAAAGGAAAAAATTATCATTTTCTATAATTCTTGAGATCATTTCTATCATTTTTTATTAATTAATAATTAAAATTAATTTTTAATAATAACAAGAATCAAATTGTACAGTTTTTAAAAATTGAAAGGAATATTATAAAAAATTAAGTTTAGAATTTTTAAAAATTCTGAATTTACAGTTTGGAAATGAATTTATTTATTTACACATGTTTTAATAATAATAATTAAAATTTTAATAAATCTTATAATACCATAGTAGAGTGCAATCATCACTCACTTACTGTACACAGTAAGTAACGATTGTACTGTTTTTTAAAAATCAATTTTGTTAAACCATGTTAACAATATTTAAAAATTCCTTTTAAATTATATTTTTAGACCTTATTTTTAGTTTATATTTTTTTAATTTCTTTTTAAATTTTATATGTAAATTTTTTTACATCAAGTAACAATGAATAAAGTTGGGATATAATTTTAAAAAAATTATAAACCTGCTCAAGCTTATGTAGGTTTTTTAACCAATATACTATAAATACTAAAAGAAATTACTAGATATTGCAGTGTGAAAAGTATTTATTAAGATACTACACAAAAAAATTGTTTAGATTGGGAATGAGTTTGAAATTGCAAACAAGTCATTTAAGTCAAGAAAAATTTTAGAGTCAAAAATTATTTTTTTATTCAATAAAAAGTAAAACCATTCACTTGGTGAACGATTTTAGTTTTTTCATTAATGTAATATTTTATTTACTGTCAAAAATCTCTACTTTCTCCCATTTAAACAAGTTATTAAATCCCTTCAACTTTTGCTTTTCTCGTGTGACATTATATTTTATTCATGTGCACATGCACGTGAAGCTTTAAATTGGCTATATAAGGGATTCAAGACATAATATACTCCTACTTGCTTCATTTCTCGTGACCTCTCATTCCTCTCTCATTCAAATTTTAAAGTTCTTTCTTTTTATTCTATTTATTTACTCTAGTTGGTAGCGTTAGTGTTGTGATCAAAGTTTAAAATGAATTTTTTTCCTTTTTATCTGCTTAAAGCCTGACTCTCAATCCGATTAAAGTACATTTTTTCAATATTTTTGCAACTTTTATATCAAAGTTAATATTTTTTTTTCAAATCATGAATGCAAACTTAATATTTAATCATTAATGCTTTGTATGCTAAGTCTTTTTTAATTATAGATGTAGACATGAAGTTATTTTTTTTTTTTAAGAATAATCAAGGTAGAATCAGCATAAATGTAAAGGGGGTCAGATTTTTAAAATTAATATACAATCTTCTATATTCTTATTTATTTTTAATGTTTATACTAATGAATTGTTTATGCAAGTTTATTGCTTTAAAAATCTTAGAGAATAAATTACATATAATATTAATCATAATAAATATATCCATAAATTATATATGAGATTATATATCAATGATACTAATCATAACAAATATAAATAATATATGAAAAACTTATCAAATAAATAATATAGAAAATTAAAAAAGTGAAATTATATATCTATAATGTTAATAATAAAAAATATAAATAATGTAGGATAAACTTATCAAATAAATAATATAGAAAAATTATATATTTGACATATTAAAAAACTTAATTTATACAAATTCTCAAATTTTTATAATAATTGATATGTGAAAAAAATGTGCATGTTACAGACAAGACAGATCCTTATACCTTTTTGGTCTTGGTCTAGGAGGAGGGGTCAGACAACAAACAAACACATGCATATATTATGTAGATTATATAGAAGATAAAAGTTGTAGGAGTTGGAAATTTCATCAAAAAAGTCATGAGTCAAAGAAAACCTAAAATATTCTAATAGCATTAAGTGGCGAAACTTAGCTTTCCTTGAGGACAATGTGGTCCCACCACTGAGAATAATTACAATTAGTTTATCAATAAAAAAATTAAATGCACATAAAAAAGATTATTACATGTAAGTGATACTTCATTCAATCTTAAATATAAAATTTTAATAACTAATTTATAGATATTTAGGAAATTGTTTAAGTTAATTATTTTTGTAATTTATTTTTATTGGGTTGTTAATTATATAATGTAATGCTTAGGAAGTATAATGAATTATGGAAAAGAGTTCGTGTGTATATTTGCAAATGGATAGATTTTTCACGACCTAGCTAGTGCAACGTTTGAGTTGAATACTGTGAAAGTAATAAAAGTTGACTCAAATATTATCTTGAATAGACTAAAGCAATTTATTGGACGAAAGCTACGACTTTCTACTAATAAATTGGTGACAAGTCTAGTGTGTAAATATCTTATATACATAAATCCACCACATTATCAAGCTTGCAATTTGGAGGATGTCTTATATATAAAACAAATGTGGCAAGTGAATCATCAATTTTTAATTCAATCAACAATTGCAGAGTTGTATATGAAAACATGTGAGTTAGAAGTTGAATAACTAATGGATAATTATGTTGGAAATACTTTCCTGTCAAGTAGCAATCAAGTGAATATTGTAGAACAATCTTCTATGTTTAGTGATCATATGAAAAATTCTCACCCATTTGAGGCTCCCTGAGGTAATGGCAATAATGGGCCACTGTGTTCTCTTCCTCTAACAGAAAACACCATGAATGGGTTTGAGGATTGGAATGAATATGATTCTCATTTAAATGTTGGTGATGAAAATGATAATGGTGCCAGCGACTATAATGACAACAGCGAGCATAATGAGGTTGCAAATGCTTTCTTATCGCATGTTAATGTTGAGTAATCTATGGCTCTTAAGTTCATGAAGTAGAAAAAATGTTACGTTTTAGTGATACTGAAGAGTTTTATATTGGAAAGATGTTTAACAATGTTTGTGTTTTAAGATATGCAATCGAGCTATATTCCATTCGAGTTCATCATGTATTTAATGTTCATTATTCAAGTAACAAGTATGAATAATATCGGTATATTAATTATGGAGAAATTTGCAATTAGAAAGCAAGGACTTGCAAGAAGGAGAGTATAAACTTTTAATAGATTACAAAATATGGGGGGCCACACATGCTTGGCTACATCATCAACTCAAGCCCATCCAAAGTTAGATACTAATGTCATATCATCTTGTATTGTAGCTATCGTATCCGACAAGCTAGGCATGAAAGTATCTCAAATTATTGAGAGGACGCAATTCATGTTTAGATATCTGACAAGCCAAATGTGAAGTACGCTAATTGATCATAAAATATTGCTTGGCAACACTCGAGATCTAGCTTGCCTTAGTTCCTCTAATTAGTTTCATATTATAGAATGGCATACCCTAATCGTGTGCTAGGACAATTTGGTCGTTAGCAACCAATTCTTTCCACACTTGTTCATTTAGAAAATTACCATACAATTCAATTATGGGGTAGAATGATTGCAAATTGGACTCGAAAAAACTTCATATTCATTCAATCACGGGATAAATGGCTACTTATTATTGTCAGTACTCTTTCGCCACTTGATGAGTTTGATAGAACATTTAAGTACATGTAATGGCATTTGAGACATACCTGATGATAGATGTAACGTATTAGCAGTGATATTGGGCGTGTAGTAAGTTTTTCACCTTCTTTCACCTATACAAGATTTTTTTTTAAAAAAAGTATCATAATCTAATGTCTTATTATTTATTTTCGGCTAACATAGCACGAGTTATATAGGCTAACAATTAATTCTCATTCAAAATGTTCTCATTATATTGATTATCGAGATAGCGATGCCCAAGACTTATGCAATATTTTACTTGCAATGAGAGAACAACAATTTAACAAAGATTCTTAACTTGCTCCACTAAGAGTTGAGTTGCCTCATCCATAAATTCCTTGAAATAGACCGAGCAAGCAATGCGATGGTTATGTAACATCTCAATTTAAATTTTAATAGTTAATTTGGGTTAATAGAAAAAAAATAATATTTAGAGGTAAGAAAATTAGTAAGAAATGATTATTAAATCTAACTTAGGATATAATTCTAAAAAAATTAAATTAAAAAAAATTTAAAAAATAATAAAAAATATTATTAAATTATTATTATAATAAAAAAAAGGAAAAGGTTTGCAAAAAAAAAAGGAAGAAGAAGGAAGAAAACGTGAATGCTTTCGGCCGCCGCCTCAATAGTAACAATAGTAAAATAAAATAATAAAAAAAAAAGAAAAGAAGAAGAAAGAAGAGAGAGAAAAGAATAAAAAATGTGTGGGACCCACTGAATTTTTATAAAAACTCACCCGTTTCCTTTCGTTTCTTCATTCTTCGTGTGTGTAAGCTGAGACTGAAAGAGCGTCTAGTTTCACCGGTGCGGGAGATCTGAGTTTTTAAGGTAAGAGTTTTTAATAGGATATTAGGATGTGATTTTAAACTTTTTAAGACTAAGTAAGTGTTCTAAAATTTTTTCTTAGTCATCCTTTTTCTTTAGTTTTTGAGTTTGTAGTGGTAGAAAATTTAAGATCTGAAAAAGGGATGAATTTATGTTGAATAAATATAATTTTTGAGGTTGTCAGTAGTATAATAAATGTTCTAGAGTATAAATTTATTGATGATCTTTGAATCTGTGGCTTATGGATCAAATTCTAAACTAGATCTGAAAATATATGTTGATTTATTGAGGTTTAGATGATTATTTGGGATGAGAAATGAATTATTATGGTCATAGGATTATGATTCTAAGCTAGAGACTTAATTTTTAATTTTTGGGTATTTTAGGTACGAATTTATAAAATAAAAAAAAATTTTGATAATAGAAATTAGTTTAAAATTTGATTTTTAGATTATTAATGTTTATTGATAATTAAAAGAGGAGTTAAAAATTTTACTTAATAGTATTAACTATAGATTTGTATTAAGATTGAGATTAGGAATTATGTTATATTTTTAATTCTATTATTAAAATTATTTTATTAATTTCAAAAATTGAAACTAATATTTATAAATAATATGTTATTTGTAGATTGTATTACTGGTGAAGATTGTGGTGAGAGAGAAATTTTAAGGAATAATTTATTGAAAAAGCCAGAAGGTAACTATGCTTTAATTTGTGATTAGTGTTACTTCATGTTAATTGGGTGATTATTGAGAAAATTATGAATTTTGTAATATTATATAATTGTGCAATATTATTATGAATTTGTTTGATTATTGTGGGAGGTGTTGGGAGACTTGCTATTATTGTTGTATTTATGTGCCACGTGGTACGCCCCTATTAGAGCTCAATAGGTGGCTTGTAAGGGCTCGGGCTAATCTACCTTTGGCCGGGTAATTTAGCACCAAGTGAGGGCTACGGCTCGAGGTTAATTGAGGGATATAAGGATGGTTGTTTGTGTTTATTATAATATTTTTTATATTTATTGAAATTATATTATTTTTAATTCTCACTTAGTAAGCACACACTTAACTGTTTGTATACACTATCATAAATTGGCTTTGGTTACTGAGACTTTTAAGTCTCATTATGTGGTTAACAATTTTCAGGAGAAGAGCCACGAGTGACACGTGGAGGAGTCCCAGAGACTTAGTGGTATAGATCCACTGTCTCTTTTGGGTATTTAATTTATGATTTATAATGTGTTATATTGCCAATATTAGGGCTTTTTGTTTATTATCAATTATATGAATATATAAATGTAATCATACCTTTCAAACTATTTCTATTTTTGGTACAATTTGGATGACTGTAATTTTAATATTTGGTTTACTTTGGATTGGTTAAAATGGCATGATTATGAGACCAAATAACTGGCTTGTGTTGAAAATTGACTAAATTGCTTATTTTACTTGTTGGGAGTATAAGGATGGACAAATGTGATTTAGTTTACTTGTTGGGAGTATAAGGATGGACAAACGTGATTTAGCCTAATGGCATGTGGGAGGTAAAAATTTATTTGAAATGTTATAGTGTGTGAGTTGAAGCCAATTATAAAATATTTTATATCGAAATTATTGATATAAAAATGTGTTGGGTGGCTGTAACCCAACTATGGTTGAGTTAAATTATTTAAAAAAAAAATTTGGTGTGTTACAGGTTACGTGTCTACCCAATTACCAATTAAAAATGAAAATGTAAGGGAACAAAAGCCTAAAAATTTTAGTCAATATCAATACATGCCAACCTTATCATTATAATCACTCTCTTTTACCTCTCCCAAATTCACTCAATTTGATTCTCATTATATGTCACCTTAACTGTCATCCCTTTTCAACTCTCCTATTCCTACTTAATTTGAATCGTTCATATCTTTACTTGATGATCTGATGATATTTTTGATTAAATACAATATTTTTACTTTTAAACATGCTATAACATTAAATGAAATATATGTCACCCCTCAACAATCAAATTCTTTAGTTGAATTACCTTGATTTCATTTAAACAGGCCGACCACAAAAATAAATAAAGCATTTGAATCTCAATAAGAAAGAAATATACAACAACAACAATGGCTATAATGTATGAGAAGAAAAATAAGATGTGACACCAAAAGTCATATAACTTAATTAGTCATTATTAATTTTTATAAAACCTAATAAATATTTATTCATTACTAATAATTTTTAATTTACTATACTTTATAACAATTCCTCAATCATATTAATAATAATTATTTACTTGTCATTTTTATTTAATTGATTATTAAATTATTAGATAACTCATTTGATAAGACAAGGATAGATGATGTTGAGATATCATTATGTTAAGAATAAGTTTTGGTACACTCGTGATCATACATTAAAGAAATCATTCTTAGTTTAATTAATTTTATAAATCTTCAATGTAAGAATGATTTTAAGTACAGTATTTTTCAAAATAATTCTCAGCATCTTGATATTTTCTTTCACTGTGTATGAAAAAGCAACTTATGTATTGTGAATCAAATAAAATTTTAAAAAATATGTATGATTATGATAGGAGTGGGAGGGAGTACAGTCAAGAGCAAAGCAGAGCAGGGAGTGCTAGTCAAGGCTCCACGTGACGGAGCAGGGCATTGGTCAGTGATTATAAGTTATAACTGCAGCGCCGTCAAACCGAACTGGAAAGTGGAAACCACCATCACCACCGAGCCACCAAAAAACACGCACACACACTCCATGGCCATGACAAATGACTTGGCTTCTTTTTATTTTTTATTCTTTTCACTTTTTCTTTACTTTTTATTTCAACTGTCAAATTTAATATTTTATAAAATTATTATTATATTTAATCTTTATAAAATTTTATATTTTAATAATAATTTAATAAAATAATAAATTTTAATCGTTTAAAAATAAATTTAATGATTGAGATGAAAAGTAAAAAAAAAAAAAAAAGCTGGGTCTCATGACAAATGACAATACTTGACCATGACTCAGCTCCTTCTTCTACTTCTACTTCTCTCTGTCTCTCTCTGTGCCTGGTGGTGTTCTCTTTTCCAGACTGAGAACTGTGACTCTGGCTATGGACGGAGAGGATGGAACCCCAACCATTGTCCTTAGAATCGCTACTCAGGTCTCACTCGCTGCCCCCCCCATGTCTGCTTTGTCCTTCGTTGTAAAAAATATGACTCGGAACTGAAGCAAAGTCTAAATGATCACAGTCTGGTGCCAGCTCTGTCATATTCTTTCATTCTTCTGCTCTTCATTTGTTTGCAGGACGGCCAGAAGCTTTCTTTCAGGATGAAGCGTGACACCAAGCTGATTAAACTACTATTGATGTACTGCGACCGAAAGCAAGTCAGCTATAGATCCGTGCGGTTTTTGTATCATGGCAAGCGCGTTAAGGGGAGACTCACGCCAGACCTTGTAAGTTCTCTCTTTTGTTATGTCTTTTGGGAGTATGGAACATGACAATGTTAGTTCTCTGGAAACTATTCTTTCTCTCTCTACATCTGGCACACAGACATCACTAATGTTTTATTGGTATGGTTTGTTAGCTGAATATGGAAGATGGAGATGAAATTGACGCCATGACGGACCAAGATGGGGGCGCTCCTTTTAGTGCCTGCTAACTGCTAAGCCCTCTGGCTTTATTCAATGCGACTTTTTGTGACATTTTTATTTTAAATGTTTCCTAGAATCGTATGAGGATGAATGAGGGACGTCAAATGTTGTCGCATGAATGCCCAGAACGGCTCATCTCAATGGAAGATGCATTTTAGTTTAGTTTCTGTTTCATTTGATGCAATGTCTTTGTTTAGAAACAGCCTCTGGATTCGGATTCCAGCCCCCCGCCCCCCCCCACCACAACATCACAAAAAATTATGACTTGAGAATAGATGTTAGACAATTGAAGCAGCTAATTGACCATACAAATAAGTGGAGCTGCTTGATCTGGACATTTTTTGTCTTTGTGATGTTATGTAATGCAAATAACACAAACCACAAACATTTTTTCATCAATGATATAATATATTAATATAAAATATAAAAAACATTTGGGAGTGGCATTACGGATTTCAGTCATAAATAGTCGTATTTGAGTTATCATAGGCAATTTCACCTCAACATTGCAAAAAAAAAAAAAAACCCATGTATTATACTTTTAAAAATATTTTCCTAAATGCTATAAATTGAAGATTTGGTTTATATTAAACTGAAATCCAAATATTTTTTTAATATGGAAGTATAGAATTTGTTCTCGCTCCAAACGACTTTTGTACTCATAATTAAAAAAAAAAAAAGTTTATGGAGCATAGCATGCCATCGATGTGCCCCTCCCCCACTTCTTACTTCCTCTCTCCCTCCTCGCGTGCGGTGCAGTTTTTTTTTTCTCCTCCAACTCCAACATATAAGTGGGTGTTTGTTGTATATAATATATTAGATTTATAATTGTAGTTATATATATGAAAAAAAAAAACGAAATGCCTTGAAGAAGATATAACTTGTAAAATGAAAATCTTTATATATAATAATAACCCACGAATGTATAGGTTCGTTTTTATTATGTAGGAGATGATTGATAAAAAAAAAAAAGAGATCATACATATTTAATTTAAGTAATTTAATTTAATTTTAATTTTTTATAATATTGATAAATTGATCATCTAAATTTATTTTAAAATGTCTAGATTTAATATTAATTTTTAATAATTTTTATTTTGATAAATATAATATTAAAAATAAAAATAATCTCCTAACGTGTATATTTAAAAAATTGCAATTTGAGATTTTTAAATCTGATCTATCCAAGATGAATTTGAATAATTAGTTTAGAAAAACTATTAAAAAATCTAATATTATATTGGACTATTCAAGGTAAATATTAAATTTATATTATTCAAATGGATGATAAACATATTTTTATAAATTTTATATTTTTTTATTAATAAATATAAATAAAAATAAAAAATAAAAATTTTAAATTTAGATTATTTAAATAAAAATTTAAATGATTAAAACCTTATCACTTTAATATGATGAGCACCCATTTTAAGGTTAACATCACTTGCCCACACAAGGTGACAAGGGGAAGGGCGAGAGGAAGTACAAATGGGGAAAAGGCAAATGGATTGGCAAGTTAGGCTATCTTGTTGGGTTATGTATAATTTTTTTTTTAAAAAAAATCATGAGTGCATTCTGTTCTCCTATGTAAAAAAAAAAAATTAAATTTCAATCTAACATAAATAAATAGAGTCTCAAATTTATAGCATTTGGAAAAATATTTTTAAAAGTGTAATATATGAATAAATAAAATTTTTTTTTTTTGCAATATTGAGGTTAAATTGCCTTCATCATATCTTGAAGTTAAAATTTAAAAATATATGGCAAAATTACATATTATCTCATCTAAGATAATTAATTTTTACATGACTCACTGACAGTTGAATTAAACTAATTGACAACGCATTTTATCTGTCTCGCACGCAGAGAGCGTTAAGAGAGATCCTCTTAATCTTGATTATGCCCCAATGCTCATAGGCTTTGGGCCGTAAAAATAGCTACACACTATAAACCTGACTGTTTCAATTTTTTTTTTTATTTATCCAAGTTCAAGAGTAATCAACTTGTATTTATGGTTCTGGTCTTTTTCCCAAAAACAAATTGACCAGCTTTGTGAAAAAAAGAAATCTTAACTTTTTTTCGACATTTTACATTTTCTATCTTAACTTATACAGCAACAGAAGGTTCTGATTATTTATATTAAATTCGAGATGGATCGTATTTTTCACAGCTTTATATCAACTGCCATTTCCTTTATTTTATGTTGAAAATATACGAGGGTTTTAATAGATGTATGTATTTATTTTTGAGGAAAATGGAAAAAAAAAATTTCATGAAATATGCAAATGAGAAATCCGGCAAAATGTTATATTTTTTTAAGTGCTTGAAAACTTTTATGTTATTAATAATTTTTGGTAAAATGATTAAAATACTCTCATCCTAAACTAAAATAGTAATTGTTTGTTTTATTTTACAAAAAAAAAAGTTAACCATTGCTTAGACTGGATTAGTCACGGATATATACAATATTTCTATTTCAGTAAATAAATTGGTACAGGAAAATTGTTTACTTTTTTTGTTTTAATCATTACTAAAAAAAAAGTAATTATTGTTTAAACTAAAATAATTACAAATATTTATAACATTTAGAATTTAGCAAATAAAAAATTTGCACAAAATAAAATATAATTGCTTATTTTATTCTAGTCATCACTTAAATTAAAGAAATAATTGATAGTATTTACTCTTTTTAAGGTCTAGAGTTGTTTTTTTAAAAAAAAATAGAACAATTTTAGTCATTTTATCAAGACCAGTAATATCAGAAAGGCTCCAAGAGATTTTAGAAGAATTATGACATTTTGTGAGATTTTATTGTCATTTATATATTTTAGAGAAAATTTTCTGCCATTTTTCTATATTTTTTATTTATTATCAAACAATGACTTGTTAAAGATAGATGTTGGTTTCTTAGTTAATTTAATTCTTTAACGTTTAATTCATGCTTTTTATAAATGAAAAAGGAATTTTTAAGTTAAAATTTGGTTTTGTATTTTCTATTCGAATTTTAATATATCATAAATTAATTCAGCTGACCATATTTGTTGATTTCTTATCAATGAAGCCACCTACACTTTGTTATTCATTTTCTCTGAATCTTTCACTAGTTTCTTTTGTGCTTTGTGAAAAGTGAGATGATAGCGGATGACTATTTTTTAATATAAATAATGGTGGAGCATATTGAAAGGAGAAGGAAATTTTGATATTAGTCTGTTAATAATTTTGTTCTTTTTTAAGTCCATATATGTAAATTATAGATTTTATATAAAACGAAAACATAATAGCACATGATTCTTTTAATGTAAATTGTAAGGGTGCATATTAACATTCTGTCCATAATTTCCCAAAATTGTTCTCTTGAATCATTCAATAACATGGAAAGTTTATTGGGAGGATGACAGAAAAATTTTAAAATAATTAATTAATTCAATTTAAATTTTAAATGTCAAACTTTAAAAATTTATAAGTTTAATTTTTAATTTTATAATTTTCTTACAACTTATTTTTTAAATTTTAATATGATTAAAAAATAAATAAATTTATTTTTCATGTTAAAATTTTAAAATATAAATTTTAAATTTATTATAATAAAATTATAAAATTAAAAATTAAATATATAAATTTTTAAAGTTTGATACTTGAATTTAAGTTAAATTAACTCATCCAGTCATCCCTTGTATCTGTCTGTCATTCTCCAGGGTTATTTTGCTTCCATTATCGCTTCCTTTTATTCAACTTCTATCATCTCTCTTCTGTTTTCCTTCTTCTGTTTTCCTTTTCGTGTTTCTATTTTATTTCTATCTGCTTAACACCACAAAACAATGAACAAGCACATGAGAAACAAGTCTCGTTATAAACTAAACTAAAATTCAAATAATATGTAAATAATAGGATGATTGATTCCAAGCAAGATATATAATTTTTTAAAATCACATACCTTTTTTTTAAAAAAGAAACTAATTAGCAGGTAAGTTAATATCATATTGTGATATATATTTATTTTTATATTTTTTCTTATCAAATATTTTATATCATATATTGATAAATATAAAAATATTCAATCAAAATATATCCAATACATCATTAAATAAATGAACAATAGAGCTTATATTTCAACTCAGAGTAATTTTTACCAGCCATGACAATTGAAATTTAGTGCATGACAATTGATATTTAGTGCAAGGGATCTTTCAGGCTTTAATGGAAAGGCAAAGTGTAATTAACTTCGTTTGTTTTGGCCATACATGCCAATTGCCAACTGGAGCTGATGGTATCAGTTTCCTGAATCTCAATCTCTCGTCGACTCCTACCTTCTCCGTCCTCAATATCACCTGCAAATAGAAGCTTGAAATCGGGCAAACCCTAGGAATTATAGATTCAAGAAATCTCTCCACTCAAAATGGTGAAGAAGCGGGTTCCCGACTGGCTCAACAGTTCCCTCTGGTCCTCCGCTCCTTCCTCAGATGACCACCGTGATCTCCGCCACTCCACCACCACACCCACCGACACCTACGCCAATGAAGAGCGAGAGCCCTCCGCGGTGGACCCACCTTTACCTGCGCCTTCTCCCCCTTCACCACCTATCATGGAAGATCCTCCGCACCCTCAGAGAATCGATGATTCAAGAACTATTCATCTTGCCAACGATCACAATGGCACTTCTTCTACTCCTTCAACAGATGACATCTCTCGCCAGGCTCAATTGCTGGCCGAGGTCTACTCTCTATTTTATTTTCTCAAGCTCTAGCCTTTCTTCTTCTTCTTCTTCTTTTACCATCAAGAAAATGAACTTTTGATTACTGAATCTGTGACTTATTGTTCTTTTTCATTTTCGTTGCTTTCTTCATTTTTCTACTGGTTAGCTATCGAGAAAGGTGATAGATATGAGGGAACTGCGGAGAATCGCATGTCAAGGTATACCTGATGGTGCTGGGATACGTTGTACCGTATGGAAGGTAAATTACTCGGAGATGTGTTAAATTTTTCCATGTCTTTCTTCTGTGTTAGAAATTGTAATCTCGTTAAGTCAAGTGACTTTAAAAGTTTTTCGGGCCTGCGGATAAATGATATTTGTTGGAATCCTATTTTGACATGCTTGTGTCTAGGGGTTTAATTTGGGTGCTTTTAGT